ATGAGAGCGATGCTGGATGAGGAACTTGGGGTATGAAACATCTTGGACAGGGATGCTGATGGAGAGCCTGCTATGGACAATTTGGGGACAATTGATGGCACAGGGAGGTACCAACCAGATTCACCTACTAGTACTGTACTCGGAATATGATGCATATTGCTATATTGACAAAGGGGAGTGGTGAGAGTAGGCGAGAGGGTAGGAGGACAAAGGCGGGTTGGCAATGCGATCAGAGGGATTGGAGCGCTGATCTTGCATTATTAGAAGATAGTATGGATGCTGAGGAAACCTTATACCAAATTTCAAGTCAAACGGACGAGCGGGGAGAGCTCGACAATTCAGACCACGGGGAGGACGAGCGGACAGAGGGATTAGGCGCTGACGTAGGGGAAGAGCGTCGTCGGAGCCGCTGGGTCGCCGAAGGTCGTCGACAGGCATGTGAGCGTGCGAAAGTTTACCGTTGGCCTTGTCGACATGTCGACGGGTTTACTATACCTGTCAACCTGGTCAACGGTTGCGTCAACCCGCACATCACTGCTGAGCGATGAGTATACTACTTCTCATGTGTGTCCGATAGCCTGAGTAATGAGGGGGAGGCGCGGACGTCTATCACAGTTGTCCTTGTCGTAACGCGGAGCCTTACACTGTTATAACCAATGGACTCGAAGGTTTGTATTGACTCCTTGCAAACGTGATGTATGCATCGATCGCTGGCCCGATGCGGCGCCACGCCCACCCGCTTGGAGCTCCGCAACACTGCATCGTACATTGTCGCCGGTCCATTATACGCAGGCTGTTCAGCGTCTGCGTAGATGCACGTACTGATGATGTTATCTCCACGGTGGAGAAGGTCCGAAGATTTGAAAAACAGATACAGCCGGTCCCTTATATACCTGACGTCTCACCTATTGGCTAGTCTCTAACTCTCTTTTCTCTGATTACGGTGCGTCATCAGGCTGCTATCACAGAAACTACTTGCTGCTTACATCGCGACACCTCTCGTATTCTGAAGATACTATCATGTCCGACAGTCTGGAGTCGCTGGTCCCACTTGTTGCCAGCGTGTAAACTTCCAGGTTTTGCCGTCAGTTGAGGTGAATTGTGGCTGACTTGTCCACCACAGATACCCTTCGAATGAGATTGGTCTTTCTGTAGTAAGTGAGTATCACTCGAGGATATATACGCATCTTCGGGTGCTCATGAACAGCAGCCATCACCATCTGGGACTGGTTGCTTTGCATCAATGACGAGGTCTATCTCATCTGGCCAAGTCTCAGAACCCTGAAAGCGTCCTCAATCATATACATGCTAAGCCGTTACATGATGATTATCAGCGAGGTCACAACCATCCCATCCGCCGGACCCCTTTCTCTGCGGGTAATGTTCTCACATGTCAGCTCTCGCAGCCTGACATGCTAACCAAGATCGTGCTTGCAGGAGTATGTATGCGGATGTACTTTCATATTTGCTTTGTTCAATTTCGCTAAGGCTGTTTGAAGATGTGAGGCCTTAAGTTGGACAGGAAACGTCGCCATCTTTCTGGCACGATTGACATTCGCAGGTATTTTCCGAACGTTTTCTTCATCTCGATTGCGGCTGATTGCGTCTACCAGTATTTTCCGCTGTCCGGGTATATGCACTCTCCGGGAAAGGTATACTGCTTTCCCTGATCGTCTTTCTTCTAGCATCCGTGCAAGCAGCTCTCAATATGGTGAGCAACCTTCCCACAGTTTTGCACAATCAGCGCTAAGACCAGACAGCTCTTTGTCGCGAGATACGTTGAGTTCGAGATGTTCCCGGCACCGATCTACTGCGCGGGTATCGGGATACCGTCCGAACGCCTCGCCAAAATGTGAGGGCTATCCGTATTCCTTGACGAATGCAATTGCTGATTTCTTTTGTGCAGTAGTACGTCTTGCACAGTATTCTGTCGATACTTGGACTTGAACGGCGTCCTGTGCAATTCTCATAGTGACCATTACGATCCGAGCGACACTTCTGGCGGCTGAAGTGATTGTAATCGTTGTGACATGGTGGTACACGTACGGCATTCACCATGGCTTGAAAGGTCTTGGCTCTGATAGCTCGCTCGCATCCGTGATGCTGCACAATGGTGAGAAAGACCGCTGACCGTCATGATATGATCAAGGCGGCGGGGTATAGCTGACGGTACTTTCTCAGGGAGCCTGTATTTCATGTATGTATGCCACTTGTCGACATATCGACGAGCTGATGCTATATCTGCTAGTGTCATGGGTGTGTTGAACATTCTTCATATAATTTGCTATGTCCTGGATGTAAGCTGTCCCGGTTAGCGTTCCAGAGAACCCTACTGACGATATAATCCCTAGACGCCGTCCCTGGCAACCTTGGAGCAAATCGTCGGCACCCTCATTGACCCGTGCGTCTCTCGTGGCTGTCTCCTATAAAACCCTTGAAGTATAACATGTTAGCCGTTTGCCAGCTTGAGTTCCATCCTCGTCTCTCGCTTCGTTCTCAGCCTTCGTCACGTGGATCGCCCTATAGCACCTCTGACAGCTACAGAACAAGCTTCAATAACTCTACAATTTGCCAGGGATGTGCATCGTACTACACTCCCATCGTTTGTGGCATCGCTGGGTGAATTGGTGCATGTCGGTTCCAGGAGCGCAAAGGAGACCTTCGACTCGGAGACGGGCAGTGACATTGAGCTCTCCGTGACAGGGACGAACCCTCTCAAGATTGAAGAGGTACCCGTTCTGATGTCTATGACGGTCGGTAGACAATCACAGGAGAGGACACCTGTCTAGATAGTTACACTTCGAGAGGTGCGATCCGTGTTGAAGGAGACACGGTATGTTGGGCCTAACAGGTGTAGACGATGTCATGCAGTCCACACTCATTAAGTTACTACGTATCTGCACCTTATTTCAATGAGCTACGTAGCGCTCCGCTGTGAAATCTTTACCTCCCGTATGTCTCGAGCGACAACACATACCGTAGCCTACGGCATGCGGCGGGCGCTACCTCCCTCGATGGGCACGTGAATTCAAACTCGCACGGTCGCGGCGCGTCGGCCCTGCGCGCTGCTCTACCTCTAACCACGACCATTGTCCCTCTTCCTCCCCCTCTTCGTCACAATACATCATGCGGACACGACGGCGACCAGTATTACAAGACAAGACACCTGGAAACACGCCGCAGAAACCGAAGGCGAAGGCCGTTCTCACAGGGAAACCCAAGCTTGTGCCTGTGGTCGAGATCAAGACGAAAGTGCGCCGGAGCAGTAGAGTCAAGCATGTAGAGGCAGGTCAACCTATGGAAGTCGACGGGGCAGGTACGTGGCACGACTTTGACGCGTCGTCAACATGCTCAATCGCTTGAAGCTCCCGCCCCGCAGGAGCAGGAGCGAGGTGAGGCGCTCCCGCTTGAAACTGGAGCCACCCTCGACGACGCGCCTCCAAAGCGTGCACGAGGCCGACCTCGCAAAGCTACAAGTCAGAAGAAACATGTCGCACCTCGTGAGTTCTGCGTTGTCACCCCCACGCTGTCCCTCGCTGGACTTTCTCTGTGTTCCGTAGCGCCGTCTCCGAAGGCAGTCGATTTCTCTAATGGTCCTGAAGACATCAACCCTGGTAAGTTTCATATACTTGCCGATCTACCGGGTCAAGTGTCGTCCTGGGCGAGCTTTGGGCACGTCTCTATTCGCCCCTCCTAGGGTGCGTGGCCGTGGATTGCCGCGTTGTCTGCCAGTCCGTCGCCTCTCGCATGAACCTGCCTTCAGGAGTGCGGCATGGTATACGAGGCATCATTCGGAAGACGTAGAGGCAATCTTGAATGGTTCTGCTATCGCTTGGCCTCAGAAACTATCCATACTCTTCGGAACATTTTCTTCACGATTCCTGCATTGAATCCCACCACCATGTATCCAGAGCACGCTTCTGATGCCCGCGGAATCATCGGCGGCTGCCCTTCGTGTCAGTCTTTGTATTGTCCTCACCGTGAAGAGCCTGTATGTTGCTCCTTTCTGTCCTCCTATCGGGGTGCTCTGGACGCTCTGAGGGGTGTTTGACGCAGGTGGTGAGCCGAGCGAGGCTAGTCCATCTGCTTGCATTGTGTTGCTCTCAGAGCATCCAGCGTACAGGAGAACCAGAGAATTCGACCCTTTCACAGCTGCGACCGGGTGTAGGGCGCGCAGACACCGGGCCCTGCAGATCCTTTTGATCAAGCTTTAGACCCCGTGGAATCTCTGACATATCATTCCGCAGATCGTCGCGCGCCGGAAGAAGCCGTTCAAGACGAGAACGCTACCAAGGCGGCGCGAGAGAGTGCGGCTCCGAAGCGCGGAAGAGGGCGACCTCGCAAGGTTTTGGCTAAGACGCAAGACCCTACACCTCGTAAGTTCCACATCGCTCTTCCTACGCGGTCCTTCATCTGACTTCCTTTATCTTCCGCAGCACCATCGCCAAAGGCAGATATCGATTTCGGCAGCGATACAGGGCATGGTAAGCTCCTATTCTTCGTCAGCCGTGCTACTGGGAGATTGGGTTGTCACCATGAAGTCGAGGTCCACTTTGATGGAATGTGGACTCGCAATGCGGTAATTACAGGCGCCGCAAGTGACTGGTTGCACTGACTCTCCTGGACACTTGCGGGAGATCCGGCCTGGCGTCCACATCCTGGATGGATGGCAAGGGATGTGGTTGTCTACGTTTACCGCTGGAGGAAGCTATGGGACAACGACTGTTGCTGTGGCGGACTGACACGGACCTCCCTTCACCTGAGCGTCGACGGGCTCAGAGACCGATCCTCCCCAGATTCTAACATAAGCTTCGTAAATATTCTGACATGACCTGTCACAGATCTTCACGGCGCGGACGAACTCGTTCAAGATGAGAACGCGCGTGTACTTCCGTCCCCTACAACACCCACCGTTGGGCGTCGAGCTCCTCGCCCTCGCGCTCGTCCTCAAGTGAGCTCCGCGCCAGCAGCAGATCGGGCATCGCTGGAATCCCTGCCGCCGTCATCGTTTGCTGTTGATGCGCGGCCGAGCTCACCGGCGTCCGTTCCTGTCGCCGACGAAGAGAGCACTGCGTCCGAAGCGGTGAGGGCGATCCTCAGCACCCCTTCTCCCGCGCGCATCATCCGCGCTCCCATCCCGGTAGAGTCGACTCCGCTGGGGCGCTTGCCTCCCCTCGAAGCCTCCCTGCGGCCGTTTGCAAGTAGTATCCGCAAGTGGAACGCCGATGTCTCACGGACGTACTCTTCCCTTCCACCATCTTCGCCCCCTGTGCAAGTGCCTGTTGCGACTAGCTCACAGGCACGATACCAGGCAGAGTTCTCGGACGAGAAGGAGCCAATTCGCTATGCGAAGAGGAAGACACCGCCGAGCGACGACGATCTGTTTGGTCTGCTCGCGGCCGAGAAGAAGCTCAAGACGATCCGTCAACGGCGGATGCCCGTCGAGTCCTCACGGGCTCCTGGTGGTACACGTGCGCCGCTCGGGATGCTTGCTCTGGACGAGGTCCCTTCGGTGGGGGTGCCGATTCCCGACAGGCTGCCTACGCCGATACCGTCTGATGAGCACAACATCGACGACTTGTACCTTGACGTCGACCCCGTCCGTCCTGGTCGGTCTCACGTGGATGAAGAGGACGACGAAGAGGACGAAGATAAGGAGAATCTCCCCACAGAGGACTACAACCTCAACGAGGACAAGGAGAACATGTGTCCGCCCCACCTCGTCTTCGACGACTTCAAGGAGAACGACCTACCTCCTGACGGCCCCGACGAAGCTCTGGGTGACGACGAGAATGACGAGAACCTGGCGTCGGCGTCCGTCGCGCCCATACTCCTTGCATCCGCCAAGAAAGGCTTTGGGCTCGACCAGCTCCTCGTCGAGCCCTCCTCGTCCTCCGCAAGCCCAATGCATGCCCTTCGTACGCCTCACAAGCACCGCAGCGCGCACCAGCGCTCGCCTTTGCCCACCCCGCACTTCTCGGACGACGGGGACGTGCTCGAGGACTCGCCTGCGACTGTGCACGCGAGGTCGGAGGGGTTGGGGTGGCACGAGGAAAGCCCGAGCCCGGTCAAGCCATCTGCTGCCCTGAGGGGCAAGGGCAAGGCCGTGGCGAGGGACCCTGTGCCGGCTCTGGATAAGGGGAAGGGGAAGGCAGGGCCATCGAAGCCTCGTCAGCCTCTCGCGACGCTCGAGTACGAGGACCCGTATGCGGAGCCTGCCAAGGTCGCGGGCAAGAAGCGCACACGTGCTCAGGTGGGGGCGCATGCAGGTTTGAAGGAGAGCGAGAGCGAGGAGTCGGATCCGCGCGCAGCGGTGATGAAGTTGGAGGCTCTGTTGCCGAGAAGGGCGAAGAAGGCGAGGTTGGAGGAAGCGAATAAGGTCAATAAGGGGAAGTCAAAGACGAAAGGGAAAGAGAGGGACAGGGAGAACGTGCCAGAGAGTACGGAGAGTGGGTCAGGGAGCGAGGACGAGGATAGGGGTGTGGGTAGCGACTCGTCACCGCCGAAGATTCCTGCGCGCGCAGCTCGCGGAAGAGGTCGAGGACGCGGCCGCGGCCGCGGGCGAGCGCAAGCGATTGCCCCCACTTCGAACGGACGTACGAGTGTCCCGGCTTCGAGGGGCCGGTCGACGTCGCGAGGCAGGCCTCCCACGTCGAAGGGCAAGGGCAAGGAGCGGGCGACGGGGGTGGTGGATCCTGATGAGGACGAGGTGCGCACTGAAACGTCTTCTGAGGCTGTTGATTTGAAGTTGACAAATGTGTAATTGCAGGAGAGGCTGCGGAAGCGACAGGAGCGACTCGAGTATTTCAAGAAACTCCAGGATTATAGCTTGGAGAAGGAGGACGTGTACGTTATCTGAGTGGTCTGGTCATCGCCGGTCCTTCGCCATCGTTTGTTATGTGGGTGTATGCCTCGTGTGCCTTGCTTTCTGTCTGCTGTCCATATTCCTCCTACACTATCGTCCCGGGCCCGTTGTCCACAATTTCGTCCATCACTATTTCTGAAACGATTCTAGGGCCATCGCCCTCCTGTAATTGTAGCTCTATCACCACATCCATGAGCTGTATGACATACTGATTTATATGATATATTACGAAACGTTAGGTATCGATTATTTTTTGGTTCGTTTGTAGCAATATGGTTTTTGTCTTTTCGCAATGCACATTGGTTGTAGTCGTCCGCCGCAGCCCGCAATCAATGGTCCATGCACTCGTATGAGACACAACCGATGATAATCCAAGGTCGATATCTAGCGTCTAGGATAGCCCACACTGATCTGAGCTTCTCGCTGGAACTTGTGCAAGTGGGAAGTATTCCACCATGTCACAACGACCACAAGGGTCTCGGTAGCAAGGATGCATCCACGCGAGATCATAATTTTTGAAAAGTGGTGTACGTCACTGTTTACATCTGCGTATAGCGTGATTGTGGCTTACACCTAGCATCGTGAGTACTAAGCATTTTGGACGCAAGTAGGTTTCTGCGACACCAGTCCTGCAGGTAGCGTATTGACACAGTTGTACGAGCTCGGAAGGTTTTGGATGATGTCACACTTCGCGGCTGTTGATCTCATCAGAAAAAATATATTCAATGCTATATAGTGGTGTTAATAACTAGTTGTGCTACGCATGGTACAAGGGACAGAAGGAACGTGAATGCAGTGAGAGGAATGTCAGTCCTACTCGATAGCGCTAAATTTTGACAGCGAGAATACTTCATAAAAGAGAGCGAATCAGTGGCCTCAGGCCCAAATCGGCTCTAGGAAATGATAGATACGCACTGGCGGGAGCGAGCTCTCCGAAATGTGGATATTGGAATCCAGAAGCTCGCCCGACAACTCATTCAGACTCGCGGTGATGCGGATCCTGAGACTCGTGACGCTCGATAAACAGGAAGATACCTCTCAGGGTAGACAGTTACTACGATGTTATCTAGTGTCGTGTGCTGAGGACATAACCAGGCTCGCGCACGACAGTTCTTCCGCTTCCAGGTAAACAATATTTCGTCGCGAAGGCATGGACACCAATCATAGACAGGAAGATTACGAGAGGTCAACACGCTGCCGCCTTAGAAACCAAACCTTCCACGGACCACTGCTCCCTGTCATTCTAAACACAGGGAATGGTAACAAAATGCCCCATGGCGCAATTGGAATGCCCCCAGGCTGGATTGAACAACCGACCTCACCATTACGAGTGGCGCACTCTACCACTGAGCTATAAGGGCTCCACGACGGACGTCATTGCATCTCATCACAGGAACCTGTCAACTTTGATCACGCTTCGATCCAACACCCCCACGAACAACGTTGTTACTTACTCAACTCTGCTCTTTCCTTGTCGATGGAGCATACCACCTGCATTGTATCCAGTTCCGACAAAGAGGCACACCACGCGAATGTCCCCTAATCATCAGTAATGCACCGGCACCGGGTACTGACATGCGGCACCTGATAATCGGATGGACACGAGCAGTGACTCGTAAAATTGAGAGTCGTGCCACGCATCTTGTGAGCCGTTTTACGGAATTGTGCACCTTGTACGATCGCCCGAACATCGACTGCTGTCCGAGCCCGATTGTGGGGCGGCGCTGCGCCTGTCTTGGTCAATTTTCGGCTCGGAGTCCCAGTTTCTCCGCCCGACGCGGGATAGCCCCTGCTCCTCGTGCGATCTCCCAGTCTACCCTTTCTTATTGTCTTGCTCCTCCAGGACATATATCTCAGCGACGCCTAAGCCGGACTCTGAGGGACATCGCCACCGTCATCGGTTCGCTATGCTCAGATCGAAGAAGCGTGTCCAGCGCCCGGCGGGGCTTCTCGACTTGCACCTCCGCCCCTATCCCTTCCGGTCCTGTGCACGACGATGGATGAGTGTAAGACCGGAAAAGGTCTCGGAAGAGGATGGTAGCGGTGAGTATCTCTTCTTCGTTCGGGCGCTGTTGCCTGGGGCGAGACGAACAGCAGTATGCCGGCATCCTTTTCTGGCGCGTGCCTTACCTGCAGTCGTACGTCACCGTACTATGGGCAGCGTACTTCCACACGACGGGCAGCGCTCAGAATCTTTTCGTCTGAAACGGAGGTCTGTTTTCGGGACAGTCCTGACTTGTCTCTTTGCCGACGCGCGTCAAAGGGCGCTGAAGGGTCGGCAATGGGAAAGTCGCACTTGCCCAGAGGTTCTATAGCCCTTTCACGAAGAACGATTCGAGGCGGTGCTCGTCGTGCCATGCACGAGACCACTCATTGCCCAGTATACTTTCCTGACAGCCATGTGCCACGCGTATATACTGAACTTCGAAACTCACGAGGCACCCTATTTTCCTTTTAGGCACTGCACCCCCGCGCAAGAAGGTGACCATCGCACACCTCCACGCCCTCCGCGCCGCCCGGACGCCCATCACCATGCTCACCGCATACGACTATCCCACTGCCCGCGCGTGCGAGGCGTACGGGATCGACATCACCCTCGTCGGCGACTCGCTCGCGCAGGTCTGCCTCGGGTACGACTCCACGACGCGCCTCACGCTCGACGAGCTCCTCCACCATACCCGCGCCGTCGCGCGCGGGTCCAAGACGCCCCTCCTTGTCGCGGACATGCCGTTCGGGACGTACCTCGCCAGCCCGGAGGACGCGGTGGCGAACGCGGTGAGGATCGTGCGCGAGGGTGGCGCGGAGGGCGTGAAGCTGGAGGGCGGGATGGAGATGGTCGAGACGGTGAGGAGGCTGACGAGCGTCGGGATCCCCGTTATGGCGCATGTCGGGCTGCTGCCCCAGAGGCATGTTGCGCTCTCGGGATACCGGATGCAGGGGCGCGATGCGGAGTCCGCTATGGGCGTGCTGAAGAGCGCCTTGGCGCTGGAGGAGGCGGGGGCGTTCGCGATTGTGCTCGAGGCGATCCCGCAGGTTCTTGGGTCGTATATCTCGCAACGGCTGAGGCACACGCCAACGATAGGCATCGGCGCGGGTCCGGGAACAGACGGACAGGTGTTGGTGTGGGCTGACATGGTCGGGACATGGCAGGGACACCAGGCGAAGTTTGTGAGGAGGTTTGCGGAGGTGGCGAAGGAGGTCGAGAAGGGTGTGCATGCCTATGCGGCCGCAGTAAGGGAGAGGAGCTTCCCTGGACCTCAGGAGAGCTACGAGATGCCGAAGGCGCAATGGGATAAGTTTGAGCGGTCGGCGGAGGAGTATGTTGGGAAGGCGCCATAGCATCAGCTTGCGTTCAGTTCCCGTATCTATCGGGATGCTCAGCTAACACACCTAACGATGTTGCGGGCGTACAGTCCACTTATTTGCGTATCTTTATATCGATATGTATATTGAAACTCATAACACCACTTCCTAAGGCAGCACGCAGGGATGCATTCCGGTGTACTTTCATACACTTGGTGAAACTCTCTACGCGTACGCCAGCCTAATTGAGAACGCTCTCTGGAATTTGGACACACTGAAGTCTATTTTGTACGAACTACAGTGCATCTGTATATCATCTCTGACCCCGGATATCCCAACCCGCAGTCTTCCCTCTACCACCGGTAACTCTAGTCCGGAGGATCAGCGACTTGCTGTCGCGTCGCATCACCAGGATCGATGACGGACCGCCCCGCAACTTGCGTGCTCCAGAATCTGAATAGACGCACTCTGTCGCTCCACAACCCAGCTGCCGCTACAGAAACGAGTTGGAATCCGCCTGCCATCCAGGAAGCTTGTATCGACGTCGTGTAGGACTCAAGAGGGCGGGGAACCCCAAGCTACGTCTCCGTCCGCTTTCTCCCCTCTGGAACGAGCGGATGGCCATTTGCTACAACACACCGCCCTCGGAATGTACAAGGCGATGAACCTGCAGGCGATTTGCAAAGCCATTCGGTGACATTGACGAGATCATCGTCCGACTTCGATCCGGCCCCCAAACATATCGAGGCATAGGGGAGAGTGCAAGGTCGTCATCCGTGTGTATGGAGATAGGAAGAGATAGGCGTGGGCGATCATGCGTTATGCATTCACAGCGCAATTCGTGCGACATGTTGGATCCAGCTCTCAGCTTGACGAAGACGAATGGTGTACGAGATAATGCATCCGCAGTATGAGTTCTTTTGTTGCGTGAGGCGTCTGGCGAATTGTATTCAACTATCTGAGGGCTACGCTTTAGTCGAACCTGCTTACCAGACGTGTCAGGGTAATTTTGCGGCCAATAGTTGCGTTTCAACGTCTGCGCTAGTTGCCTGAGGGCAGCAGACGTTTGGCGTCCAAGATCAAGCGCACAGGGATGTAGACCACGTACAACATGTTCAGGTAGCGCGACTAGCTTTGAGTGCCCGACACTGTTGGATCGTTCGAGAAGTTTGTTTGTGAGGGGAGGATGATGAGCGAGCATCCGTTGTCGCTTGGGTTCACTCATGACGAGGATCACTCGTAGCGACTCTGACTTGGAGACGAATCCCGGAGCTCATATAACACCTTGGCCTGACAAAGGCTTTGTGCGGAAAGGTGATGTACCGCTGGAGTACTATCAGTCTTTCACTAAACCTTACAAACATCTCGAATCAGTAGTGGCAGTTATCACACGCTAGCGTCCGCGCAGTTCGGCTGAGAAATGTCTTGGAACCGCTCAATTAGACAGTGAGGTCAGCACACAAGGAAAGGCAGCAAAAAGCGAAGAAAGAGGATAATGATACTGGTCAAAGACGAAAGCGCTCAATCATGCAGACCCTTTCGCCGCCGCCTTCCGATGTCTTTGCCGTTTCCTCTTTGTCGACGCCTCCGCGGCATCGTTGCGCTGGTCCCATGCGTCTTCCTGGGAGTCCACCTCCGTGGCCTCTCGTTCCCGTTTCCTCTCTTTGGGGACCTGGTCGTTGGTCTTGACGTCCTCGTCCTCCCCAGTGCCGCCTTCACTCGCAGCTGCGGTGGCGACAGCCTTTTCGCGCATACGCTCCTTTTTCCCCATTCGCTTCTTCGCCTTCTTCATCGCTTGCTCGACCGCCTGCACTCCGCCCGTGCCGCGCTCCTTCAGTTTCTCCTTGAGCTCTCTGAGGCGGGCGCCCCGCTGTGCGTCCCAGTTCCGACCCTTGCCCTCCTTCCGATATGGCGCGTACTTCTTGATGCCCATGTACGAGTTGAGTTCCGCATCAGTCGCCATCAGGATCTCGGCAGGCGTCAGGCCAAAGTGCTGAGGCTCGGTTTTGGTGTAATGGAAGCGCGTGGGCATGCCACCGACCTGTAGGTGCAGCGTGTGAGTTCGTGTTTACAAGAGGGAGTAGAGGGGGTAGGGGCGCACCATATCGTTGAAGTCCAAGCCATATACCTCGTCCATGTACTCCTCCAGCTTCCGCTTCCGCATCTCCTCCGTCCCGTCCCAGTCCTCGTCGTCGAACGCAGGCTTCGGTCGCTCGACGTCCGCGTCCATCTCGTCGACGTCGACCCCGTCCGCGTCCATCGCATCCTCGTCCCCACCCCTTTTCTTTTTCTTCTTCTTCTTTTTCTCCGATGGGCCCGCGCCCTCGTCGTCGGTATCGAGTCCATGAGGGACGATGTCGGTGATGTCGATGTCGTCGTCCCACGTCGGCTTCTCCTCGTCGATGACATCATCCGGCCCGAACTCATTTGCGTCGTTCGCGTAGAGTTCACGCATTTGTCGATCGTGCGCTTCGGGATCCCAGTCTGCCTCAAGATCTAGCTCTTGAAGTGCTACCGTCCGGCCAGGTCAGTTCACGTACAGGTTTGATGCAGGGAGGAGAATGCAAACCTCTGCTCTCCTCGAGCCTCTTCCCACCCTCTGCACCGATGCGCTCGAGCTTCGCCCGCAGCTCCTTCATCTTCAGTGCCTTCAGTCGCTTTACCTCTTCCTTCTTCTTGAGCAACTCCTCTTCCTTGCGAGCCTTGCGTTTCTCACGCGCCTCTTTGCGCGACGTGTCTTGTCGACGGACGAGCGAGGGGAGGTTACGTGGGTGCCGTGCGATCTCCGCCGCACCACTGGGGTGATGAAAAGGGAAATAGTGAGGCATAGTTATAGTGAAGGATGAATGAGGGCACGTACGGCTCCTCGAAGCGGAAGTTATACGAGCTTTCGAACGCGTCTGCGATATCGTCGAACTCGTCCTCCTCCATAGAGCCATTCGTCCCTGCCTCGGATCCTGACGCGCCATCCTCTGAGTCTAAGTTGATTCTTCCTTTGCCCTTGCCAGTGATCTCCTTGTAAGTCGGGAGCCGGCGTGCGGACTTATCGATCCAGCCGCGGTTTAGGATATAGCTAGTCGCCCCGTGTGAGTCACTGAATCCGTACGCGGCAAAATAAGGCAAAACGCACTTCACGAGGAACTCCTGATCCTGGTCCTGTTTTCCCTTCCCCGACACCGCCTTCGTCTTCTCCTTTTTTCTCCTTTTCTTCTTCGGTTCATCCGCCTCCTCCTCTTTCACATCCACACCGTCCGCCTGCTCTACATCATCGTCCACGGTGATGATCTTCGCCAAGTCCTGCCCGACCTCTCGCTCCAAGAAGGCACGATATTCTTCCTCCTCACGCTCAATGTCGTCCTTCGTCTTCTCGCGGGGCACCAAGAGATCGTCTTCGTCGTCCAACCCGTCTGCCGCAGCATGGAATGCGGCGATAGTCTCCTCGCGGAGCTTTTTCTGCTCTTCGACGTGCGTGAGGGGCTCTGGAGAAAGGGAGCGCGAGCCGGTCGCGTCTTGAATCGCAGATGCGAGGGCGTGTTGTCGAATCGTCAAGGGTTTTGACTGATAGAGGTTGTATAATGGAAGGAAGTGCGTGTCAAGCTTAGGCAGCGTATGGTGGTAGAAGGGAGAAAAACGCACCCTATCCTTGGGCCGTTTGTCTATCTGGAGTTCACCCGTTCGCTGTTTCTCCTCTACGTATGATCGCTTTCAGCCCGAGATGATGTACCTAAAGCGAAAGGCTAAAGGACTTACCCTCAAAGACATCCTTGCTAGTCTCGTAGATGGATGGATCCTTGCGCTTGATGCGCGCAAGCGTGCGGAGGATGGCTGCGTCCATAGCCGGAGTCAACTCCTCGCCATCTTCGTCTTCTGACTCAAGGTCTTCCGAGTCCTCCTCATCGTCGTCCTCATCGACATCAGAGCCGTACTTTTCTTTGACTGTAACCTTTGGTCACCACGAACTCTAGCATACTGCAGAAGAAAGGACAAACGCCTCGCTAATTCCTCGCGTTCTTTGCGGTACTCGTAGGCCTTAGCGTAGTGCTCGTTGATGGTGAAGGTGAGTTTGACGTCCTCGACGTCGGAGTCGTCGGAAAACATGTTGATAAAAGTCAATAACAAGAGAAACACGCAAAGAGTAGGTCGATGAGTCATGCCTTTTGGATTTAACTAAATCCTAAAACTGTCAGCGCCCCTATAGCTCAGTGGTAGAGCGCGCCACTCGTAATGGTGAGGTCGGTTGTTCAATCCAGCCTGGGGGCAATGGAGATTTTTATCAGTTCCGTAACTGCTCCGCTAAGCTTTCAGCCCCATCCCTAACGCTAGTTCCAGTTATCGTCCAGTGTGCGGCTGGCCTGACATAAAGGTGGGATACGGAAAGGCGTGATTGTCTCAGCGAGGCTCACGATAGAACACGTCGTCCTATAGTTGAACTCAATGCCCCCGACCCTGTAAGGCTGCCGACTGCGACCTGTTACGACATTGAATTCTCCGGCACTAACTTTCAACCTCACGCAAGGTCTCTCTACGTGTTTATCATATCGTCCGCCAATGGCCGGGTGGTCTAATTTGTACCGTTGTAAGTTGGGCCCCTCAACCATGCCAGATAGTGACCTCGTGTGCACAAAGAACATTACTTGATGCTAAACAAATCTGCGTAAGCAATCCACTTCATTACATGCACGACCTCCGCACAGAGGGCAAGAATGATGTAGACAGGCTGGAAAGCTGAGATGTGAACGTCCAGGCTAAGCCTGGTACAAGATACCTACTGCAGAGGAATAAGTCCAGGGCGCACTGAATGGTTGGCTTCCATGCAAATAGCGCATACCTTGTTTGACGTCGGGCATCGAGGTACATTCTTGGTGATCACCGATCAGTATGGAACTCCGTCTCAGTTTCCAGCTACAAGACTATGACGCAAATGGTACGTCAGCGTTCTTTTGAATGGTTAGCAAGGCTACGTCTATAATCATCACCATGACAGGATAGAGAGACGCAGACAAGCACAAGCAGTCAGTCCCTGAAACCTATGACTATAACGCTCGCATCACAACGGTGAGATTGTGGAATAGCCTGACTTTTGAGCATTGTCATTGCGCGAAGCGAATAAGCAGTTGGGACTCTGGGAAGGGATGAGGAGCGCATTTCGCCCTCTAAACCGACCACGATCGTTCCGGAGCTCTACTGCCTCCGCCGCCTAGTCCGCGAATGTTGTTTAGACTTTCGGGCGAGCTCAGGTCAACTGCCGGTCGGAGTCGAGTAATACACTCGCCAGATTGAAGCGCGAGGCGAGTTCCATGCTGTCTGTGTTCCAAGCGCTTCCTATGATAAATTCTCGTGCCGTTGGTTGTTGGACATTCAGAATACCCAAAAAGTCGTACAGGCTCCGATTGAACAGCCCTGTCATGCAGTTCGATCTGTGTACGGGGAGTTTGTGGCGTCGGAGCCCTAGTGAAATCCTATGCTGACACTGCTGCGGAAGCCCAGCCATCGACGGTCCCGAGCAGTTCTGACGTCCGTTTGACACAATTTAACCGGGAGCCAGCTTGCCGCTGCATGTGCAATGGATCCCTGGGAGACTTGAGTGTGGCGCGGAGCTAGCATGAACGCGGGAGAAGTCGCAAGCATTTATGCTGCCGATTTCGCTCGGAACCTGCACGGCATCTAGATTACGTGGGCGTATTAGTTGTTGCGACCTGAGTCTGCTTCTTGGCCTTCCGAGGCATAGTTTGGCTCCGTGCGTTTGAACCTTACCATCAAGAGTGGATCTCTAGTGTGCGTGGTCCCATGCTACATAGGTTGGGAGTGAGAGAAGTAGTATAGGCCGGCAGGGTGTGGGCAACCGGTTGCGACGGAAGCGAATTCGTAAATAAGCTCTTCTTTGTTTGGGAAAGCCCCCGCGAGACGCGAGAGTCATTGAGAATGTGACGGCAAGGCCGTGAGGCAAGTGGATGCTCGACCCATGTTCCAATGACGGCATGCATTGAATCCAGCGCCCTTTCGAAAGAGTTCTAGTCTACGATCTCACCGTGATCAGTCCCAGTTGTTTCCGGAGTGTGTGAGAAAGGTATGCAAGAAGGCAATAAGGGCATTGCGAGGCGAGGGAACTTCAGCGACTATCCCGATAGTAAGGATAGCTGGAGGCTACATTACCTTGCGGTCGCGATCCCCTACTATCGGTTTCTCAATATCGTGTGCAACCTACAAACCAAGGGATATCGGGATCTCGAACCCTCGTAGACTCAGACGCTCAGCTGTGTGCTGTTGAGGCTGCGCTGCAGTGCGCAATGAGACCTCCATGGGTAGTAGGCTAGGGCGTTATATAGGAGATCTGGCTCCGTGAGGAGTCTTCGCTATGTTCAGGACATCGCCTGACTTGTAGATCGTCAATACTTCCCTGGATGAACGTGCACCAGTACATACACTCTAGCGATATGTTTCCGCCTTGATCCCTTGGAAGTTGGCGTGAACACGTGTCCTCGGCTCAGCACAGCCATTCAAGAGGAGCTCGTAAGGGATAGCCATGATTATATGTGTGTGTTGTGCTCATTCTTGTTCTTGAAGGGGTTGCGGACATGTAATGATCGCACATATGTCTCGAGCGGATATACGATGCGCAATGCTCACACGCTGCGCCACGATATGTTCGGTCAAGGGAGCAATCGCGCCCGGCGTGTGCTGGCTGGTACCAGTAGGCAAGCGAATCGACTGGGCTATCAGGGGTTAGCGCACTGGCACTTGTGGCAGGTGTAGGATGAAGACATGGGCATACTATCTTCTGGTAGTGAGAAGCGTACGTAGCAGCCGTAAACCATAAGATGTCGACCTATGATGCCATTAATTGTACGTACAATGTGAGTCGAAGTGCTGCAGATTCGTAAGCTCAAAATCATACCAAGTAGTAGTGACCCTAAAACGCCAACGGGCACTATTGCGCCTTAGTGCCAATGCAAGCGATGTCATCTATGCTGGGGAGAGTATGCAAGCTCGTACTCATGTCACCTCGCACTTATTTGGCGGGCTCTCAACGACAGTACATATCAGTAGACGGAACAACGTTGGATAGCATAGCACGTACTATTTATCTCCGAGTCGGTTGCTATACTATAACTTATCTCGATGGAGAGCTTGATGCTGCCTTGTCGAGCAAGCCCATAAGTCAGATCGCAGAAACTGGGGGATGCAACTTGAAGAGCTACTCCTCCCCGTGGAGGGTTACTAGAGGGCAAGCTCTCTCCTTGTGAATGTCGCACGTCTTCCTGCGGAACGTCGTTGTTGCAAAGTATAATGAGTGGGAGACGCGTACCCGACCCGTGTCGGAAGATCCCGGGTAGCTATCTATCGAGATCATTTTGCCAGCTCACGCTAGGTCAAGCCTAGGTTGTCGTCCAATCGTCAGTACCTTCCCTTCCTGCAACGATTTGCGTCTTCACTCTCAAGCAGCTCATCTTGCTCTCACAGCTGGCATTTCTTGCTTTGGAATGACAGTAGATCACCCCAACGCGATTTATTCCCCGTCACCGAGCTCTCATATACCACGCCTCGCCCTTGCGCTGGTGCAATCGCCCAGTCTGCAAGACGCCGCCCCTATTGAAGCAAACGGCACATCGCCTGCCACCCTTGGACAGATAATTTGCGTAGTACGCGAACTGTATGTCAGCGACGTGTCTGCGTCAGGCTTCTCCCGCGCATACCACGGACGACATTGTCCATCCCGCACGTCCATCTCCTGCAGGATCTGTTTTGAGCTGGGATGCACCATCTTTGCCTCGTGTACATGCACGTGATAACCAGGCGCACCGCTGAGATCTCATCGCCGGTATCGCAGCGCTCGCGCTCGCGTCACGCTTCCAAGTGAGCCTTCAAAATTCCAAGGCTCCATGCCGAGCCTCTTGACGCTGACAGGATCACAAGTCCCAGGAGCTGCCGCATGGCACAGACATAACCTCGCGGAAAGCTCAAGGACAGTGGTGCAAGGCGCGAACAGCTGCTTCTTCCTTGAGTCAGGCGTATGCCGTTAGTCTCCCGGCTGCTACCATGATTGCAGGTACTTCTTGCTTCCCTTGGTGGAGAGTGCGAACTGATTGCCTGCGCAAAGGTTCCAGCGAACACCATGAGTCAGTCCTCCATGAGTCGGTGCGACCGTACGCCAATGCCGACAGGTATCACGTTATCGTTGTATGCGAATGCGGCTGCACTCGATAAGGCTGGGTTCATCTTCTGTGTTAGTCGGCGCCGAAGTCGACTTGACTGTTCTCAGGATTTCTGACGCTTGCAGTTGCCGCACTCGGGGAGCCCCTTGCCTCCGGCGCGACTTACGTGGGGATACCAAGGACTTGCAACTGGTCATGTGTGCCGTCATCAGGTACATTCTTACTTTAAGATGCGGTGCCTATCGGCGCGACTTTCCTATATGACTGTCCCACGTAAATTCTTGGGTGCAATAGACACGTCTGAGTTACTCTAGAACCGTCAAACCCTATCTCCGTTATCTTGGTGATCGAAACCTTGCAATTTACGATGACGTCCTCGGCATTCTAGGGGGCGGACAGCGAATTTCCTCTGATTTCGCCCGCGAACGAGAAGACTACTAGTCGGCCTCTCTCAGCCTACGATTCATGGCTCTGGACCGACTCATCATGTATCACTCACGGAGGAGATAACCATTCTCAAGATTACACGTTCGAATTCTTGTCGCACGGTCTTTGGTGTCAGGCTGTTTCTTCAGCTCATCAGCAAAGGGCTGCCTTGTCGGGTGGCGATACTTCGGTTCGGCCCGTCTCCTCCGCTGTCGCGCATCGAACCCAGCGCCGGGGGCGAGTTCTGTCCTGAAGCCTTCCAACTCGCAAGAGCAGCACGACTGAATAGAAGCTATCGATATCGCCGTTCCTTTACACTCCGGCGGCATTGCACCTTCCCACCCATTCTCTATTTCCCGCCCCCTTCTCTCCCGCTTTTTCCACGACTCTGGTAATAGCCTTCTCAGTATGTATTCATTGCCGAAGCGCGAAGGCTCACGAACGCCACGGACACGCGAACCCTACAAAGCGTCAATGCACGAGGACTCTGCCGTGGAAGGCCTCGCCCTGCGCAGACTGCGAACGGTCCTCAGGGCCTAGCAACGTCCTGATTGCGATGCACACGAACACTTCCTCGTCGAAGGTGAGAACTGGGACATGTGCAAGCGTGGACGAACGCGCGATAGCTGTCAAGCATGTCCGCCGACACGGTGCCTGGAAAGCGTTGCGGCGCAACGCAGCCAGCGGGGCGCTGATAGGCTGGTACTCGGTAAAGGAGTGGCGGGCGCGCCCGCTCTGCCGACGACATTGACCGATTTACCGCAGCTCATTCCACATAAGGTGCGCTTTCGAGCGCTCTCTTGATTCCGCCTCTGCGCCTTGCGTGCCGGCGGACGAGCGCATGGTGATGGGGCTTCGCAGAACTCTACTTATCATGATGGCAAGGTGCGAACGCGGGCTACTCTAAGGGATTACGGGATTCCTCTGCATCAGGTAGTGAGTCATACCAAGTCTGGTTCTAGATGTTCCTGACATGGGTTCGAGAAGGCCAAGAGGTTTCTAGATGCTAACGATGCGCTCTGTTCAGAGTGCAATATGGCCACATATGAGTGGCATCACGGCATGGCCTGCTTCGAATGCCCCCACGAGAAGGGATCAATCCATGGACAGGAACTAGGCAGGTGGAGATACCACGGCCGCATCAGTCCAAAATGCTGCGTGAAGCTGAGAGGTCGGTGCGTTTGTATTGCGCGTCTTGTAAGTAGACTTGCTGGACATTCGTGAGGTCTCGACGATTACACATGTGGTGATTCTTGCTCCACGGAGATGTAACGAATAAGCTACAATATGTCTCACGTCTCCGACAAGGACCCACCTAGTGTGAATCTGTGCTCCGGGTATGCAAGATGCCTCCGAAGGGCACGCGTAGTCGGCGCATGTGTTGATTCGGACTATCTCTGCATTGAGCTGGTGGAATTTGCTAGTCTAGATTAAGTAGAGGTATCAGATGCTATAACTGTACTCGAACTCAACTGATCGCCCTCCTCCGCGGCCAACCCTCACTGATCATCGTACGCCTAAGGCTCCTAGGAGGCCACAGAACGTGACGCCGCTGCTCTGCCGCTCTCTGCTGCAACGACTCAAGTGGTCGTTCTAGCAATACCAGGACACCGTTTGCAACCGATCACGATGACCGCCGTCGATTCTCGGGAGTCCGAGTCGGATTACCGTCTGCACATCTACCCGGGCTTCCACTTTGTCGTAAACATCTGGAAGGAGGCTAGTGAAGAATGCGACCGATGGCTTCCATACTGCAAGGGACGAGATAGCCCTGAAGAGGAGCTGATGACGCGCACGCGTACCATTTGCCAGCCGCCGCACCCCGTACTGAAGCCGACATATTGACGTCTCGAGGTGCTCGATTACATCCGTAGAGTACGGATATAGAACCAGCTGCCAGAGAAGGAGTTCGACGTCTGCAGTCTATACAGGCGATGCGAAACTCGGCAACATGGGCATAGACCACACGTACCGAAGCGAATTACCGACACCGGAGGGTGGGCATCGCGAACACAGTCGACTGCTGACGAGAAGAACCTTGGCCTTCGATGTACCAGTGAGTTCCCGGCCTTCTATCTCTAGCTATGACAATGCGATTCCGTGTCGAACGTCGCCCAAGGGGAAATGAAATGTAGCCGATTGTGATGCGAATTGGCGAGACGGCCGGTTCTGCGGCATGGACTCGGGCTGGAAGGGAGAATAGTAAGAGGGTACAATCGGCGAGTAGCGGCATGGCACGGACGATTAGGTCGGGGACGGCGGCGCACAACACCCTGTCTGTCATCCACTGTTTCCTCATTATGTGCCTCGTAGACAAGGGACCGCACGAGCTGCGGATGTATGGGACGCCCGACGATGGATTCCTTGACGGCGTGGACATCTGGCATGCTGGGAAGCCGAGCGCCCGCGAGGACTCCGAGCCGCCCGGGGCCGTTTGCGGCGACAGGCCGTTGAAGTGCGTTACACTTGCCAAACTGAGGTGAATAACCGGAGCGGGTATTACATTGAGCGGGAGACGAAGAGCCATGATGATGTGGATGGTGCCGAGGTAGCGAGGTTCGGAAAGACGTTGGTCCGGCTGCAAAAGAAGTAGTCAAATGTCATGTCATGAAATGATGGACTTAGCACGAGTGGGAAGGCGGACGGATAGAGACCTTGCGCGACTCGGAAGAATCAAGTATGCGAGTCCAAAGAAACAATTCCCAAGCTGTTTTGTTGTGAGAGGGAACACAGTCTAGTGTTCTCGGTGGTTCGGCTAGCGTCCCAATGAAGATGCGTGCAACGAAACGTTACTTACGTTCGCTCGCTGAGTGGACCATGTACAGATCGACATTTCTGGTCGAACCTGTTGAAGCGGTAGACAGATAATGCAAAAACCAGATGGCACCCTGAAGGATGTATCCAGGGCGCGATGCACCTCCTGTGTTGTCTGGACGATAGGGGAGTGTTTCTGAATCCGTCCACAATTCACAGATAGGGCAACGTACCTCGCTTCAGTACAATGACTACTAATACCACACCATTCCGTGTCTGATCCCCCAAGGTAAACCGAGGTTCTCCGACGTATGCTTAACGGACGAGGTAGACCTTGTCGTTGATCCAAGCATTTTAATACGCTATAAGGTGCAAATACTCATTAGCCATACGCCAATCGAAGTTTGGGATTTCATCACAGTAGTCTTGCACACCGATATTATCATTGGCGCGTATATGCTGGAAAAGGTGGCAGACCTCTTACCAAGCCACGTCATCATATTGACGGGCAGCTTGCGTACTTTGCAAACCTGACAAGACAGTAGTCAGGGGAAGGGCTTTCTGCCAGAGAGGTAGGAAACGAAGGCTGCGCACGTCATATCATTAGCAGTTGACTTCGGGATACTCTCTAGGGTGGAATTCTCGCAGTAACCCACTCGTATAACCGATTACGCCGTTCGCACGTCCCGTCAGATGCCTTCGGGAAGGTTGGCCCATGCGGGCTTGATAGTTGCTCAGCGACAACTTGCAATGTCTCTCCTACTCTCCTACCATCCATCTCTCACCTCGTGAGGAGGGATGCATAGCGAACACCCAGCCCTCGTCTCGTATCGACCAATGGTATCCGTCAATCCTCGGTTACTCGGCCTGGGTCGCGAGACCGGGAGGAGCACAAACCCGAAAGAGTCCACAAGATCAGATGCCCTGTGAGACGGTACCCACAGTGAGACGGGAGACACCGAAGGGCACGGACCCCGCTCGCATGCTCTCCCAACAGGCGAAAATTTGCACTGCACACCTGTCCAGCCCTCGTCAGCGTACTCAGCTATCAGTGGTGAGGGTGGACGGACCGCAGTCGCGCCTCGGAAACATATCGGTGCGAATTTGATTGAAGAAGCTGTCATATAGAGTGCGTACCATGCGCTCTAGGTGGAGGCCTAGTTCGGACAGATGAAGACAAATTTGAGCGCGTCGGAGAGCACACGATGCAAGAGCTAAGCCTCCGGCGACTTGCCCAGGTCAAAAAGCTGTGCTCTTCGGCGTGTCTCTGTTACCTCATATAGATACTCTTCCCCCAAGACTAGAAGCTGCATTGTAAGGGTCCAGGATCATCGGATGGGATTATGACAGGACCATAAAACTGACTGCCACTGCATTCCAGGAGAAGAGGGATGGACGTCCAGTCAGAATATTGGAAGGCAAGGAAACGGTCAGAAGGACGTCATACAGTGACAGAACGCGTTGGACGAGGAGAGAACGTGAGCTGTCCGCTACCATCCTCAACTCACTTCGCGGTGCTCAAGGAATCGGCAGCAAAGGTAATTTTGCTCTACATCCACACCATATCGTGATTCTACAGACACGATTCTCCGCGATGCCCACTGAGTAAGGAGGCCTCTCAGAAAGACTGGACGTGCACCGCGGACACGCGAGTCCTCTTGAGTGCTTCCACGGTGTCGGAAGGCGATGTTCCCGTCACTGCAGGCTGGGCTTCAGGGATTATACCGAATGAAGAATGATCCGCAGTGTCATATGTCGGAGGTGAAGCCATGCACCCATAGAAGTGCCCCAAAATCCAAGCCATTGATCGTCATCACCCTGAGGGCTCATGAGACTATGTCGCTTTGCAGAGCCCAGAGTATTAAATTACGCCTTGATGGCGGCCCAGACAATGATGGCCAAGGGATGCTTACCATCAGAAGACGTAAATTGAGGTAGAATGTCGGACAAGGGCGGAGGTGAAGGACGGAACAACGGAGCGGGTATCGGGGATGAATGACTGGTCAAGGTTAGGCAGATCCCATCGGCTCCACGTGATATACAAGCGCCTTAAAAATCAGCGACATCGGTGGCGTTCGCATAGCTCAGCTAGCCTGTACTTACTGTACCCGCGATGGTTTCATCGCCCCTCGAGACAACAAAGGGATGATGCGCAGCTCCAAAAACTTCGTCACCAACTCGCGAAGCATAATATGTAAGCACCATATCCCGTTGTTCGTCACCGCGGCTGGAGTGGGCGGAATAGAAACACGTGGCTATCGAAGTAGGCTCGCAAAACAACGCATCTTACACGCTAGGCGTCACCAGCCCTGACCATAAGTAAGTATCTTCTGGCGCACGCGCGGCGCATCATGTTCTCACTGGCTTGAATCCCGAACAGCGGCCAGACCAACCACCGCTCATCAATTCCCGGGCCCTCGCTGGACCCACCGTCTCAAACTCCGTCCGGAACTTTTTGCGGCGGTCATCTGATCCAGAGAACAACACAATAACCACAGAAGATGTGCGATAGCGCAGTAGTTTGCGCTGATGTGCGGATGATTAGGCTGCAACTACAACCTGAGCGTTGCCTGGGCAGAACTATCCGTGTTCCCTGGATACCCGAGCATTGGGGTGACGCCCACTAAGTCCCTCGCGAGGGAAATATTGCGATCGTGGCGCTCTCGTGTCGATGGACTCGAGTTGCGCGTGCTCCGCTTGGCCCCGCAGCTTGAGGGTCAGACCTGAGCTAATATACCGACCGCTTGGTTCTGTTAAGTGCTAGAGATGCTATAGATGCCGTGAGTCTGCACATCTATTGTCTGCTTGACCTATGACATGCTCAGCTGACCAGCCTCTAGTACTCTTCAAGTTCGGATACGTCATTGCGCGTGAGCCATCTTTGTGCTTTAGCTGGACCGTCCTTGCTAGTATGACCCGGCCTTGCACCATTCACGTTGTATCCTCAGCTTATCGTACCGCAAACCCTTGAGAGCAAGGGCTCGCATACGGCATGCAGGAACGGTCGGTGTTTTGCTATCAACGTCCGTTCCTTTGCATTCAGGCCAGTCTGATAGTCTCACTTAATCCATTTCAGCAAGCTGTACTATCGATATACAGACTTGTGGCAAGCTTCGTGGCGCGGTGTCTCCCATGCGCGTCTGTGTTTGACAGAACGCATCGGGCAGAGTCGTTGATGACTTCACTGATCGCTGTCAGACCAATTCCCGCGCACTCCCCGCCTCTTGCTACCACCCCACGTCGCATCAGGATCTAATCATCAAAGAAGCTCCCTATCCGCCTGCCTTGACGCACTACTCAAGCCGATAGTGTAAGTACTCCGCCGTTAGACGCCTCTCTAGACATCTTAGACGTCAAGGCTGATATACTTTCCTGATTCGCCAAAGTCGCTTGTCTGATTACGCGTCCGTGAGGTACTCGCGTCTCCTTCCCTCGCCGAGTTCCCTGTTCAATCCGACAATTTCCCCGTCGCGCCATGCTATGGGTGACTGGTATCCGAACCGTGTAGACGAGGCCATAGAACACGCCCAGACAAGGGCCACAATCCTCGCTATCAGCGCAATCTAGTGTTTCAGCGACTGTATGTGTCTCGAAACGGGTTCTGCCGTCGTGCCGTGACCGCCATCCCGCCTCTCGCCCGCTCGTCCGCAGCCCGACGGGTTCTTTTCTGTCAACACGTCGCGCCTTACGGCAGACGTGCGGCGGCGAGGCGTAGCGCCCTCCTCGCCACGTAGGCTTGACCCAATATGGGTGCGGGATTGCACCCGCGCCGCACGCCGAACTTGGAGCTTGGAGGGCAGCCACATCTGACAGATCAGGAGTCTGAATCGTGTCCATCTGCACAAGTTCGCGGTCTCGCTGTCTGACACGCTCCCGCTGTGCCGCATCTGCACCTAATCTACGCATTCCCAATTTAATGTGCCGGGCATCTGTGTTTAGCTCACCTGCGGCCTCGACCTCCGGACGCTGGATATCCCCACTCTCCCTGTACGGTATAGTTGCGAATATCCTTCCACCGTCATTGTGGATTAATGCGGGCCACATTGAAGGGGCGGCCGTTACGACGGCACTCGACATAAGTACGCCATCGTGCTGTTCGTCCACTTCATCTGAGCGAGCCGCTCATGCCCTATCGGCACGCTGTGCGGGGCTTGCGGCGCGCCTATCCCATCAGTACGGCGCACTGAACATGGTGCTTCGCTGTTGTATTAGCTAACGCTAAGTAACCCGTGCTTTCTTGGGATTCCATCTACGCCTTCGGTGTGATTGCATTTCGATACCCATCCTCGATGCCGATTTTGATTTCCAGAAAAACAAGCCCCGACGTGCCAGCTTGCCTCCCTCCTGGCCTCCACTGAGGCTTCTCGCGCTCTCGTGCGTCAAGGTGGCGGCGATAGGAGGGCATCCGCTTCCGTCGCAGGACCCTTGGCAGCTCTGCTTCTCGTACGCACCACCCGTCGAACACGGCCGCGGCATGGGGGACATCGTGCTCTTTGGTGCAGACATCTGTGTTGACTGTCTGTGACATATGACATATGCGTAACGGCATGCGGGACGACGTGCCCCGGGAACGTGGGCGCTAGCAAGTACACAGATAATGTCATTGGATGCCTTGCGGGTCTGATTGCAGCAATACCATTCGTTCGCTGGTCAGCGATGGCCGCCGAGCGGCGTCGACGACGAATGGGAGGGCTCGGCACCTGACGTGCGATAGAGTCGAATTTTGTAGGCCCGCGCACTGTCTCATACATGGCGCACCAGCCCTATTTGTTACGTGTTCACCGCAGGTACCCTCATCACGAGTAATAAGATGGTGATATATCACCCAGTACTATCGCCCGCTCATTCCATGTTGCGGTAAATACCCGTGTGCGCGAGGTGGCTAATTAGGGAAGGCGGGAGCACCAGTGAAAGGCTCACAGACGCTCAACTGGGAGGCCAATCGGTGAAACCTGCTGCGGACGCGGCGATTGGCTGGACCAAGGCTCTCAGCCAGCGCATGACGTCCGCTGGCCAATGGGAGGCGATCATGCGCTCTGCCGCGGCCCATTGTCGACGTCCTTTCCGCTTCGTCCCGACCTGCTCCTGATTTACGATTCGCGCGCATCTGCATCTCGCTAGCTCTCCGAGCATCAATACTTGGATATCATCTGGACACAGCGACATACTCACAAGCGACGCACGACTCCAATGCGTGGCGCGGCGTCCGTGGTGATAGGTATGTTGTGGAGAAATGGGAAGGTGCGTAACGTTAGCTGGACACGCGTACCGTTTTAGTTCTTGCTCTCCTTCCACGCCCCGAACTCAATCAAATTGAGGGCGGGTGCGGGAAGAACCAGACATGTGTCGTGTTCGCCGAGCGGGTGCGAAGCCTCTCCTTGGCGTGCAGCATCCGGCCAATGGGCAGCGCACTTCCCGCTTGCAGTTGCTTTCCACGCCCCGCTGGTCCACCATCATGAAGAGAAAATGAGGCTGCGGATGGTATGTGTGGCAGCTCGCATCACGATCCCAGCCCCCCAAGAGCGCACACCGATCGGCCACAGCACTATTGTCTAGATCCCATTTGCTCATGAGCTGCTTCGTACGCTTACTTCATAGGTGTCAGGTCCGCGAAAGAAGCTTGTGAGTCATGGTCAGATGTTCGAGTTCATTGAGGGCGTCAGCGACGGGGCGAGCCTCTGTACTCCCCATACACGCTGTGGCAGCGAACTGCCTATATGCGCCCAGAATCGAACGTACTGGTCATGGGGACCTGTCCTAGATCACTTTGCGCACTGGGCGCCTCCGGTCGAAACGATTCCTACCTCGATCACTGGAGATGAGACCCTGAAGAAGGATGTCCTCCCGTAATCCTTACGGTACGACGCCCGATCGTGCTCGTGCGGGACAGACGATAGGCTGCACCGTACTCGCTCCCGCCGGGAGAGTGGGAGAAGTTTCACGCAGCCTGTCTGGTATGGCACCTACGCATGATAGATACGTCATGGGTCTCGTTCTTCGTGCGTGCTCGCGATGCGAAGTCGACCATCGATGCTTCGACAGCCGGCCATTCAGGTTATGAGGTGCGAGTTGGCGATGCGCCGGTGCTCAACAGCGCAATGCGAGATGCATGCAATACGCTAGACGGGGCTAGCGCGTTTAGGTTGTCCCAATACGGCTCTCGTCCGCGATTCTCATGTCTATGGTCTTGGTACTCGCGGGATCCTGTTATGTGCTATGTGCAAGGAGTCGCGTCACGGCCCTCTGCACGTTGCGCACCGTTACCGGGTCTCGGGCTCTCATACGGTATCATGACTCGCGCTGGCCGGTTACTCAGTCTCCTCGTGAGCCTGCCGATCAGGTGGCGCAAGCGCGGAGGATTAGACCGCTCCGGGTGTGCGCCACCGCTCTACGGTCTTCAAGAGTCGGGGCATGTCGATATCCGTTCTGGGCTGTGTCCCGCTGTGCACCCGCGTCGCGCGCGGTGGCATTCCCAGATTGCCTCATCCACGCGGGCAGCGGCGGCGAGTGTGCGTGAGAGTTGGGAGGGGCGACCGAGTTGAGATGCGCACTTGCAGTCTGCAGGGTGCGAATCGTTTTGAGATCGCGAAGGCGCGATCTGGCGGCGGACAGACGATCTGGGAAAACGATTGGAGCAGAGCAAGATTCTGCGGCCGCGGGAAATCAGGCGTCTAGATTTGGGGCTGCACCAGCGCAAACGGGAACGAGAGCTCGCCTCAGGCGCGGAATCCAAGGCCCCCACCGTTAACTGGCGGCGGCCGTTGGCGCGGGGCGGGATCGCCATCAGATGCGATGCGGGAGAACGGTAGCACGCGTGCTACCACTTGCCATCCAGCGCGGGATCCGAACGAATGAGAGCGGCGCCGAGGAGAACGAGACGAGCGGACCACGGGCGTCTGCTCATGGCAGGCGGACTGCTTCCTTGGACTGGGGTGATTCTGCCAACGAGGACGGCAGGCGAATGGCAGCTGAGCATGGCCATGGCGGTGTCGCGCGCAGCCGCTCGCGCGACGTGCGTTCCATTCGCGATGGCCCGCTGAGGTTGGCAGGATAAGGGATCGAAAGGCGACCCCGTTATCCTTGTGCGTAACCCCGCCCGCCAGCAGCCGGGACACGGCGTCTCGAGTTGGGGACAAGACGCTGTTTCGTTGAGGAGCGTGAGGGCTTAGCTAACCCTGCGGGATCGTCGACTTGTATGATTCTCTCCGGTCGCACGAACGTAGGGTCCGACGGAGCTCACGAACCGCCACCTACTAACTTCATTGTGCTAGTCTCTGAGCTCATCCACGGCCACCAGCATCGCGAGATGCATCCAGATAGCCGTGCCCGAGAGCGTGGGCATGCGAATGGATTACGCCAACGGGTGACGGCTCGGCTCGAATCCGCACTCTGCTTGCACCTGGCAGTTAGGTCCCCGGTCTGCGCGCACCGACTTGGACTCGGGTTCCGATACGGATGCGGAAATTCGCCGTAGAAGGGCGCGCGACTTCGAATCCAAAACCTGCGCCTCCGGTCACTATTCGCGTCTCGGACGTCACTCTCGCCGCGACCCGCCTGCTTCTGCTCGGAGCCCCGCCGAACACGGCGGGCACATGCCTCCCGTCGGCCGCGCACGGGCGACCGGGACGGGGCCAGGGCGGACAGCCTCCTGCGGCGGGCGTAGGTCGGGCGAGGCTGCGAAGAGAGGCTGCTGGGGAGTCCGCGGCGGGAGCACTCGCCGCTGCGAGTAAGGCTCTGGTTCTCGCTGGGAGACCGGGGGATTGGGTTGTCTCTTCTCAGCGTCGGCTGTTGGCTCAGATTGGGTGCTGGTTCGAATTCCTCGGGAAGTGCCATGTCGAGCGATATTCCTTTCTGGCGGGCTTCTAGCGGGCGGCTCTGTGGACGTGAGCGACCCTTTAATTAGAGTGACCCGAATGGCTGGGACGCCTCGCACCGGAGATCTTGATTCACAGGGCGTCTATCTGGCCAGGCCGGCGTCTGCGCGAATCTCAATCCAAAGTCCACCACCTCCGAGCCATTCGCTCACCCTCAACCTCCTGCACGCTCCCTGTTCGCATATATAACCTCCCCTCCCTCCATCCGTCCTTCCCCGCCGCCCCGCTCCGCCCCCTCCCCCTCCCCTCCGCCGCCGCATACAAGCACGCGCACATTCTCTGCCATGGCTCCCAATCACCGCGACAACCTCGCCCAGCATATGCACATCTCCTCCGCGGAAGACCTCTCCTACTCTGTCTCCCCCTCATCCGGTATCAATGATACCATTCAGACTATTGTTACCGGCCGCAAGTGCTGGAAGACGATGAAGGGCAAGGGCGAGGTCGTCTGGCCTCCATATCTAGAGGCCGCGCTCGTCGAAGGTGTGTTGCGTTCGTTTTTGCACAAACTCTATCTCCGAGCGGCATTCTGCTCGCTATATGCGCCTTCTGCCGCTTAGAAGCGCCTCTCTTCACCTGCAATACTGACTATATGCGCGCATTCCTTAGGGCTAGAGAAGTACCAGCCCGTCGAGTCGCGAACATCCCGGTCTTTCGGCCGGTTCCCGATGCGGAACAAGTTCATCTCGGACTACATCTTCCAGGTCACGGGAAAGCGCAGGACTCCCAAGCAAGTCGGCTCTCGTCTTCAGCAGCTCCGTGACACCGCAGAGGGCAAACGCAGTATGTTCTCCGATGAAATTCTATGATTCGAATTTTCTGACTGACCATCATTGTTATCGCGCGCCGTACCTCGCGCTGGAAAAGTCCTCCAGCAATTGTCCAGCAGGCACATGGCCATGATGCAGCCCAAGTCCGCGCAGAGCCAATCGCGCCCCGATGCGGCAGACACCCGGCCGTCCACCGCGGGTAGCTCATCTTCGGCTTCTGCCTCTTCTAGCCCCACGGGTTCGTCGAGCACGCCTCCTGCGCGTGTTCCCACGAGCTATGTCTGCATTGACGTCCTCCCTGACCCCGGAACACCCCCCCTGCGCCTCCCCTCTCTTTCTTTCGCCTCGTCCCCTCTCTCCCCCGGCGCGCAGCCTTCATCCGCAATCGCAAGCTTCGTTCCCACCCCTGGCTCCCCCACCTCTCCCAACTCCGGGATGGGTCTTGGACTCAACTCCTCTGGCCCTCGCGTCCTCCGGCAAATCGATCCGGCGGTGACGTTTATGTCCCGCGCGGCTCTTCAGGCATACTCGAGCTTCAAGGTTACAAAGGCAGGCTACGCGCCAGGCCAGGCGCCGATTCATACCGAGCGGACGGAGCTCGAGCTTCTCTCGAGCAGCTGTATGCCGATGCCCCAGTGGTCCAGCGAGATAGAGTGCACGTTCCTATACCGCACGCGGTTCATCCCCCGCTTCTGGGACTCCCTCTGCAGGGCCGCAGGTGAGTGTATGCGCATAGATGAACATTTTTCGCGCCTACATTGTTTATTGACACCTTTCGCGCCCGATGTAGACCCGTCGGTGTACACCGTCCACCAGGAGATCGTTCGCAGTGGGGCCGCAGATGCCGACCAACACGCGCCCGAGGACGTCCTTCTCTCGATCGTGTACCAGTTCAACAACGTCACCCACACGCCACCGCTCTCGCCCGACAGCCCCACCTTCTCCAGCGACGCGAGCCGCCCGGGTACGGCTGGCAGCCACTTCTCGAGCGGGAGCACTGTGAGTGACACCCCTCGCCCACCCCACCTGGCCAGATATGGACTCCAAATGCTGATTCCCGGCCGCGATTGTTTGCCTGCTCTCTAGCCCGAGTTTGGTGCCGAGCTCGACGACATGATGATGTTTAACAGCTCGCTCGACGTGCCGCATCTGCCGCATTCTATGCATGGCTCCTTCTCGTCTTCGCATCCTGCGCATGGCGCCATCGATGTCAAGACCCCCGCGCTTATTCATGCCGACGAGGATGCGTACGCGAGCCTGCCGCCCACCCCGACGTCGCCTTTCGATCTCCCCCCGCCGGGTCATGGCTGGGCCAGCCACCAGCAGCACCAGTCTCTCGCCCCTCCTGCGCAGGATTGCGGAAGGGGGATGTACGGCATGGCCAATGGGATGGGTCCTACGATGGGAGGCGACATTGCCATCGCGGGCCCGGGACAGTACATGAACGTGAGTGATCGGATGGTCAATGCATGTGACGTTGCGGCCTGATCTATGCGCGTCGATAGAACTTCATGAGCCCTTACGGTATGTGAGGAGGTGCCTTACGAGCCTCCCTTGGGCGCGGAGACCTCCGCCTTGGGCCCGGTCACGCCAGACTTGAATGGACCGAAGGCAATGCTCCTCGCTATCAGCGCCGCGCCCTTTGAGACCTCTTCCCTTGAGCATGGGCGGCGCATATACCCTGTATGCCGCTTCATGTGCGCACCCCGGGCGCATCGCTTTGCTTTCTTGGACGGAGACTCGGACGTTGGCATGTTAAATGGAATGGATGTCGAACGTGGATCGTGGATCTTGGACTGTACCGCCATATCAAGCTGCCGTTGGACGTGCTTCTTCCGTCTTCTCGGACTCTTCCCCTCTCCCTCGATCCATCGACTCCCGCGAGCACTCGCCCCTCAGCGTCCGGGTATGCTTCGGCGTTAACCCTCTCTACTGCTTCTGTGCCCGCCACCATCTTCGGACACTTCCTTCCCACCTGCGCGTCCGCCCGCCTCCAGTCCACAGTCGTCCCAGTTTGGTTGTTGTGACTGCACTCCTAGCCGCGCTGCTTCTGTAATGTGCCCATTGCCGCTCGTTCGTCCCCAGCTCCGCGTCCATGCCGTCCAAGTCTTCTGCCGCTCGTTGTCGTCTCGCTCGCCGTATCGCTCCCGCCATCCTCCGTTCGTGGTTCCCCTTGTATCGCCAAACCGACGCGTCGGTCTTTCGCATCGTCATACATGCGTTCCCGTCATCTGCTTATGTGGCTTCTGCGTCGCTCGTTTGCTTGTCATTGCTCCCCTTGACCTTAATGTTCCCGTCCCTGCTGAGCTTTAAAGGTTTGCGTTATATCCGGACTTGTCCACATATGTTATCCTGTTGCATAACCACATCGCCATCTCCACGTTGTTTTACTAGTCTTAGTGCTCGCGCCTGCATACTAATTGTACGCTCGTCTTGGTCGCCGTCAACTCTGCTTCTTTCCAACCATGCATCTCTTCATCATCGCATACCACTTCACTCCCATCTACTACTATATGATCGTGTTTACCACCACCTCCATCATCGACTACAGCACGCTCTTACTTACATCTTACCCTTGTCTCACTTCTTACATGTTCTTAAAGGCTCAGCGCACCGTTGCTATTCACCGTAGCGTATCATTCGTCCTTCCAATTAGCATCTGGCTCCCCCCCCATACCCACTTTCGTATTCAACCATTAGTCGTCGCAGTTACCAGTAATCGGACAATGCGAAGCTTGAAGCTCTGCGAGTATCTCAGGGTAGATGTGTGTAAGATTAGTCTATTGTATATAGCCGTTGCCCAAGTAACCCTGGTTGTTGTCGTCAATTGTGTTGTCGACTGAATGGGACACTGTTTGCGCCTGCCTCCCGCGATCTGGTTCGGCATGGGCCTCATCAGATGCGAGTGGAGATGGGGAGTGTGGTCATCGGGCTGCCGCCTCCGACGAATGGGGATGGTGATCTGATGGTAGATGCGAGTCCCCGAAAGCGTATGGATTGCGAACCGTGGGACTCATGCTCGCAACGATGTTTTTATGCTCTAGAACCCGAACGTCCACGGGTCCCCGTGTCCGTACCCTAGTTCTAGTTCCTAGCTTCATTCTCCCAACGCTAGCTTGAGCTTGAGTGACAATGAATCGCCACTCGTAGATCGGTGGGGCGCGGACCGCAGGGTCACGGACGCAGCCAGCGGATCACGAAAGAAGCCTTGCTGGGGAGTCGGCTGAGGCAGCGTTCTCACACTGCACGCAGGAGGTTTAGACTGTCCGCTCGCTGTCTGATCGGGCTGGCTGTTTCTTGCCGAGAGATTGCGAGATCTGCACAGCGGGCAGACTTGCTCGCTCGCGTATCACGATGAGGGTGCGCATGATCGATATCAGGGTGGAAGATTGGAAGATCTCACGCGAGGTAAGTACCCTCACGATTTCGTCGTGTACGCGTGCACCAGGTTCGCGGGCAGGTCAATGCATGGGTCTACCGGTGCGCCTCCTCCAAGGGTACTTGGTTAGTAGTAGATTGTAGCAGAATGAGTGGTAGAGGGCCCCGATCGCTCACGAAACCCAGCTGGATATCGAGCCAACATACAAAGTATATCAACACAGCTAGCGCCGGCTACAGCAGCCGACCTGGAGCGGCTACAGTTCAGCCTTAGGAGGCTTCAGGGCCGCATCATCGCACGTCCATCGTCATGATCGCGAGGACTGTCGCCAGTGCGCCATGGAGGAGCCTTGTTCGCGACCGCCGGCGCGTTGTCACAGTAAGGGCCTGTTGAAAGCGAACGGTAGGTGAACGGTGATCCCAGACGGGGGCAACAGACTATGCATTATCGTAAGTGATTTCGTAAGTCGACGCCAACTCCGAAAATGAAAGTACCCGCTCATCAGGTCTCAGGTTAGGCCCAGATCTGATGCACAATATCGACTATGAAGTCTTGCAAAGGAGTTGTGAGTGTGGTGGAGGGGCCTATAATTGTGCGCACGCAGGAGCTCGCTACCGCCCGCCGCCCTGAGCGAATATTGGGTTTTTGTCTCTCTTGATTTTTGTACCGTTCGCAAGAGGCGAGAGACGAGGCATAGATCGCTCGGCTTACTCCGCCTGTGCTATCGGACGTTAGAGTGATCGTCGCAAAGGTGGGCAGCAGGTGTCAAAGTCACCGCTCGTGCCGTCATGACGGCGGACAGTCCGCGGACATGGTTCCGCATGTAGCAGCCTGGGCGCATTGAAAGTCAACTGGTGCCAACGGGGAACAAAGCGAGGGGCGTGTATACTGCGCCGTGAGCTTGAGCGGCCCTCGTTGAGAGTCATGGCATCCGAGGATCGCACCGTAGTCAGGCACGCCGACTGAGCTCATCAACGCTTAGGCGAGTATCGGGAGACAGTGAGAAATCACACACAGTGCGGGAAACGAAGTGTCAGTTTCTCCGAGCAACCTTCGCTCTCGCTCCTCCGGTGAATAGGTGAGTTCTCGAGAAGCCGGGTAGCTACAGGCTGCAAGATTCATACCCTGGAGGGTGGACACATGAGAACGCGCGAATGCGGGTGCGGACCGCAGAGAGCCCAGAGCGTGGGGGAAGCGGGATGCCGTCCTACGTCAGGAGCACGGTAGAAGAGGACACATAAGGAGAGTCATGCTGGCCAACAATGGCGTGACAGTCCGCAAAGCAGGCTGCCGAGCTAGACGGGAAATCTGGGTACACACGGGGAGGGCGATCTGGCTTTGGCTCAAGCTTTCGTAATTGTGGCCACACTACAGAATATCATGACACGCCGCCGCCGCAAGCCGAACCATAGTCGTCTATATATGTACGAGGTTCTGGAAACACACCTCTATGAAGCCAAGAGACCGTCGCTCCGAGGTCCGTGACGTGCGAAGCTTGAGCGGACTGTGCCGTGCCACACATTGAGAGGACCAAAGCGGCCGGTAGAGGTTGGGATATGATTGTTGTACGGTCAGCAAATAGCGAGGACAGCGAGGAGCAAACCGCTGGCGCACAAGCAACCTCGGTCGCTGGCATCGGAAATGGTGATAAACCGTCTCCGAGTAGCCCAAGATTCGACCCGGAATACGCGACTGGAAATCAGATGGAAGAGCCAGTCAGAGACCATAACTGTAACCGGAAACTCCAGCAGTGGAAGGGGAGAGAGCGGGTGCGAGCAGCAGCAGGGGTCGACGCCCACATCATCGGTAGTGGGGAACAAGACGCTTCAGCCGACCAGCGTGACTTGTGATCCAATTTCTCGAGAGGACGAAAGCGTGCGCCAGGACGCACGATGCGCAAAAGCGGAGGCTCCGCACTCGCATGAGCGCAACTCAAATACTGCACGCAGCAGATTCAAAGAAGGCCGCGGATGCAGTTGGCGATCCGCGGGGATTATGCGCCAGAGGTGTTGCCACTTGCCGCGAATGCTCGTGGCATGCTCAAACGCAAACCATAGATAAGGATTTGAAGCGTGTCGTATGGTGTCGGATTGAGGCTTTACTTCTCCGAGCTCGTGATAGGGTTAGCATTTGTCGTTTCTTGGATTCGTGAGCGGGTGACAAGGAACGGTGCTAGCGAAACTTGAACCAAGAAGGGTCGGCAGAAGCTTTGTTTGTTCGCGGGCACCGTAGAACCGCCAATCTGGGAAGAGGGAAGTGCAGCGGTTGTGGACGGTTGGAGTGGTAAACCAGTAGACCAGTACCACAGGAGGAGAGGTGGCCCTGGGTGAACATCAGCATGCAGGGAAGGCGCATGGCCTCCACAGCAACAAGCAGGAGGCGACTGATCGATGAGAAGGTAGTGCGGGGCCAGTGACACCAAAGTTGTGCTGATGAGGCAGGCCAGACAGCAGCACCACTGAGACCTCCAAGTATCCAAACATCTGACTGCTCGAGTGCTGAAAGCAGGAGGTGCTCCGGTGAGAGCCCTTGATGAGAACCACTGGTCACGTCCTTGCGTCCGAGCCATCGAGTGCCGAATAGCGACGGTAACAAGCGCCACAGATACGTGCCTCCAAGACGAGCACTGGGTCACGCGTCCATGCTGCGCGCGGCGGGTACCGTGCTGGCAACCATGCGGCGTGGAGCGAAGTGCACGAGTTGGCAGTTATTCTGTCATCATGCCTGTCAGGGAAAGTGCGAGCCCAACACACTTGTCCCGACAAGTCTCGTAATGACAGCGAGTGGCATTGGTGGATGTTCACCTGCGCGGGGCCTGTTGGGCGTTGGCCGACGTGATGCATGGGCGGAGGAGATGCACTGTCATCGTTGGCCTATGCAACGGGCTCGACGCAACTCCCGAGCTAACGAGCGGCACGAGAACGAGCGAGCCGCATACTCTTTGTTTCTCGACCATGGGTGACATGCAGAAAGCCAGGATGGAGGGGGTCCCACTGTAAGCCGAGGGCATCGGGGTAAAACGGGTCGAATTCGGAGTGCGTAGTGCGTTCTAGCCAGCGCGTGGTCGTCTTCGTGCGCCATAAGTAACGAAGCGTCCTATTGTGGTGACCTTTGAACAGGATCAATGTCCCGTTGGTGCTTCAGAACGCATGGCATCTTCAATTGCTGCGCCTTGTCCTTGATCCTGATGTGGCTGGTGGATGCGGAGCAATGGTCAGATCGCGCCACGGAGAGCGCTTTCGAGAGCCATCCCGGAGGGTAATAGGACGAGCCTCGAGAGACGAGAAGAAGAATCTCATGAGTGGAAAAGTCGGATTTGGATAGATTGGGCGTCCGCAACAAGCCGGTGGATGTGCGCTTGACATATCCTGCTTCTCAAGACTATCTATGACACCGTGAGCGGCCGAACGGGACTCGCCAACGTTTCGGGGTGGATCTTTGACAAACGATGCCTGACGGTGGGTAGATAGGATGTCTGTCTGTAAGGCCCAAGAGAAAGGACGCACTCCGCTTCGTATTATCCGGTTGCTACCGACATGAACGCGAGAATTGGAATCCTCGAAGGCGACCAGCGCATTGCGCACACGGAGCACCATTGGAGTTTCGACCCCCCTTCGGGTGTTCATAGGGCAGTGGTGCACTGTCAAGGTGGAGGCAATGAAGGACCGAGGGCTGGACAGTGAAACGCAAGGGTTTTCTGTCTTCTCCCGTGAACTTCTTTGCATTGAGCGCCCCTCAACCGACCGCCCGCTCGGTCCTGAAGGGCCTGACATAGGCTTCTGGAAAGTCAATCTCTCCCACCGTCCAGAGCGACCGCCGAAGGAACGAGGTGTGCCTGCCGTCACGCACGAGTCCGCGATCCACCACGCGACTCATATTTGACGGGTCGAACGGAGCGACGCTGAGTAGATTCGGTAGCATGGGAACCTCAAGCTGAGCACGCCGACATCGCACCAGAGGCGAGCAAACGAAGCGCACGATCACTGGGGTCATGCCGGTCCCCAGACAAGAACAAGGCCACGGCTCTGTCCTACTCACGATCATTGAAACGCTCTACCACGGCGTGCTCATATACCAGCCTGCTGGCACAAGCGTTTCAGCGCTACAGCATCGGCGCGTGTCTCACTGGCCCTTTTTGCGTATGTGCGTCACGAAGCAGAAAAAACAAGACTCGCCTGCGCATCATGAACCTTCTATCCCCATCTCCAACTTAATCGCGGACATTCCCACATCCATCAGACAGGATCCAGTATTCTGAAGTCGGTGAGATCACGGAAATCATGTGGACAGGCCTTGTGTACGCGCCGTATATGAGCGGTCTCTGCCGGGCCACGGTGCACCGCAAGTCAAGGCACGGGAACACGTCAATAGAAGCAGCCTTCATGAGTTTGCAGACTCGGGCGTACGATGTAGGGTACATTGGATTGATGGTACGAGGCCTCGCGAGCATGATGCAGCCCGTGAGATCACCGCCCGCTTGCTCAGTGAGACTATGTGAATACAAGTCAAGCAGCCAATAAACGTGTAGCACATATCCCTGCCTAAGACACATCATGGTGTCAATAGAAAGAATGCATGGGCGACTCACCTTGCCTGGATGTATACATACTTCCACTGAACCCGTTCACGTTCACGTTCCTCGCCTCTGCATCTCTCCTTGGAATGCTCGATTTGGATTCTTGAGGAAGACGCGATAGCGACGTTACAGACTGAGGAGGGCTGAAGGTGGTGCGTAGTCAAGAGAGACGGCGATGTCTTGCCAATTTTGAAACAAGGCCAACGGGAACGGGAGACAGTCACGTGAGACGCCTTTCCAAGAAAATTGGTCGAAGTTGAAGGCACGGATAGTAACATGCGTGCAACCACTACCCCTTTACACACGAATACTTCCAGGTACAGTCAAAGAAAGCACTAGTATACTCCATGTTGCCAATGTCTTATCGCCCTCCAGCACTAGAAGTGATGTTCAGGATCAAACCATGCCGCGAAGTCTCCTTCGAAATTCAGGCTGAGCTCGTCGTCCTTACAATCCAACATTGGCCACACAGGGCGGTAGAATCGCCAGCTGAACCCGGATAGTTGCGTCTGTCAGGGGTGGTGACGACGACGCTGAGATGCCACGAGATATGGAACTCAGCTCGTTGAAACTTGGAATGGATATGTGCTTTGACTCCCCCCCCCTTTCCCTTTGAGTGGGTTCTCCGAAAACACGAGGACGACGTGGAGTGCTCTCAAGCCTTGTGGTAGTGGGAGAAGCGAAAGGCAAATGTTCTCCTATGCCGCCTGCGTTAGTAGATGCGAATCTAGACATTCCCGTCACGCTCACAGATACTGTCACCCATCCTTCTTCACCCCCCCCCCCCGGGCATCGGGTACAGTGATGGTCAATGTAAGTTCCCGCACTGCTCGCTTTCCGAGTGTCCTGAGCATCGATAGCAACGGTTCCACCACATGGATGCCGCAAACACTGAGCTCGAGTGACTCTGGACGCATGTCTTCCATGACTCCTTCAAGCATCCTGATGAAGGCGATATCACTGAGCTGCTCCCAGATGCACAGCTTGGGGATGGTACCGATGAGACCCAGCACGTATAAGACTCCGAGCTCCCCAGAACATTCGACGAGATCTGGCCATATGCGGGATGAGGGAGTCTGCTTCGTTCTGTTCTGTCGACGAATTTCTTCGATACGAGGCATAAGGAAAGAATGTGGCATACGCGATACTTCGAGGGGCTGGCTTGGGATGAGTTGGAAGTGTAAAAGGTTGGGGAATGCGTTTGCTAAAGTAGCGATGCTGATGTCTTCTGGACAGCTGTGGTGACGGTTGACGAGGCCGAACGTACGCACTGTTGGGAATGCGCGACTTCCTACGCTCCGGGCTTGAACTCGGTACGTGCCGAGATCACATAGCAGCGTCTCAACTGTAGGTGAGAGACTTTCAAAAGCAGACAGGCCGTCTATCTGCCGCCTGGGATATGAACACCTCAGAATCGCGTAGGGTCAACGTGTCGATAAGAAGTGCAGGGGATGTTAGCAGCGAAAGGAGCCTAGCGACCGTGGACGCTAGATATGTCATGTCATAGGAGAGCCGGATATCGAGCTCGTGTAAGAATTTGAAGCGCAGCCTCGACTTCCCAGCGAAAATGAACAACGAGAAGGAGTCCACCACGGATGGTTTCCAGAGTGTAACTCCATCTCGCAAGAGGTGGCGAGGTCCTTCGTCGTAAAGGAGGCGACACGTTTCCATGAGCGATGTGATAGTGGTGGGTGCGGAGTGACCCATGATTTCGCTCATTACATCGAAAGGAAGCATAGATCTATCCATCACACTTGGAAGGCCTAGAAAGAGATGAGCAGTGAACAGCATGCATGGACAAGTCGGCCTTACCTGGGGAAGAAACAAGTGGACGCATGGTTCAATCGGAGTGTGTAGAGGAACGCTGAGAGCCTGATCCAGTACCGACGAGGGTAAGGTTCCCGTTATCCATACTAGACAAGTGATTGTACTAACGACTGAGTGGATGAACGTCCTTCGAGGCTCTTGCAGTATGACGGAGGACGCGTAAGCGTGTCGATACCAACTTGTCGGCCGTGGGAGCAAATGCTAACCTTAAACCAATTCAATCGGGTTCATCCGCACTGAGCCCACCTGCTACTTACATTCGGAGGAGAGTTTATATACCACCATAACGAAGGTCACGGGGTCAGTGGGAAAGAGATACTTACCCACCAAGGGTAGGACGGAAAAGGGAAGGGCGCCCGCCGTTACAGCATCCAAGCGCGCGAGCACGAAGGCGGGGACATCATGATGAGGCAGCAATGTTGGCGATGGGGATGTTCCTGCCAGTATGAATGGTAGCAGTATGCGGGCCTGTCTTTCGTCTTTCGCCTTGGCGTTACGATATACATGCGTTCACAATCGATTGATAGTTCACATGGAGTCCACCTACCGAGTGTCGACCCACGACGGATACCTGAGAAGGTCTGACCCCGGCCAAGACAGTGAGGATTGATTGCAGCGATAGGATTGTATTGGAGGAAGGATCGGCTGCGTCGCTCAGCATACTCCTCCATCGAAGCGGCGGTGAATCAACTGTGGATGGGAGGATGACCCTCACATTCGCAGTGGATGGATTGAATGGAGTAAGCAGCTGGGACCAACGCAAGAGAGCGAGAGGCAGGGATGTTCCGTAGACCCCAACGTGAGTATGCCTGCGGAGTGCAACAAAACCTCTTCATTATAGCATCCATGCGTGTAGCGTAAGCGGGTAACAATACAGAGCGTGCGTAAAAGTAGTGCACCAGCAGTCCGTGCTCTCCAGCCCAAGGAATGAAGAATCAACAGCACAAGCGAGCGTAGCCAAGTCATGAAGTCCATGTAGAGCCCTGCCGCAACGCATCGTCAAAATGCGGAGCGTCCATGCCGTCCGAGATGATCGAAGGCGAAATCAAGGGTATCAGAAGGTCCGCTTCACCGAGCAGCGGGCAAGCAACCCGAGAGCGGAATCTGCGCATTGTCCGCATCCCAGGCGTCGGGGTACGTGCACCCAGAGATGGCAGTGACAGCAGGCGCATTATCCGCGCCGTCGAACCACCCATTGCCCACGCTCGCAGTCACGCTCGCGCTGAACGTGGGCGGGGGGAGCGTCGAAAGCGTGCCTGTGGCCGTGTACTGCGGCAGCGCCGTCACGCTCCCCGCGGGGACGCTCGTGATCGATGCCGGGGGCCACACCAAGTCCGCCGTCGCCGACGGCGCGATCGTGCCCGCGCCCGCGCCGCCCGTCTGCCACGACTGGAAGGTGCCGTCGAAGGGCGCCGGAGCCACACCGAGGCTGGCGCACTTCCCCAGCGCCTGACGGGGGTCTGTGGGCATCCAGCCGTTCTCGAGCCCGAGCTGGTACGACCAGAGCGGGGCCTGGACCGAGTTGGTCGTGGTGGAGTTGCCGATCTTCCACGTCCAGAAGAACCAATCGCCGAGGGCGTCCATGCTCGCGAGCGCGAAGTTGAGGAGACCTTGCTTCGTCTCGTCCGACCAGCCGCTCGCGTCCTGCCAGTACTCGCAACCGGCGCCGTAGCGGGCAGAGCCGCCGACACCGTTGACGTAGAGACCGCAGTCATTGATCGCGTTACTGAACTCGCCGGCCATGGTCACGCCGAATGCGGAGCGGCTATCGTTGAGAGATTTGCCCCACGAGTTACATGCTTGGAGCGGCCACTGACCGCCGAGCTGCGTGCTGTCGCCGTCTGCGGTGATGTTGACGGGCTCGCGGTTCTGTTGGCCGTCGAACGCAAAGTATGGGTGGGTGTCTACCAGAGATATTAATGCGGTGATTAACCGAAGTCTGCTAAGCGAACGCACCCAAGGCAAGCCGATCAGCACCGGGGAGGAACCCAGCCCAGTTGGCAGGTTCAGTGAAACCGTCATGAATGGTGATCATGGGACCGTTACCCGCGCCGACACCGGTTATCTCGCGCACCATCGTGTATGCTTTCAGGTAGCTGCGATAGAATGAGTCATTGCATGACGCACAATGTCTGAAATAAGTACTCACAACGACTGCACCTGGTTGTTGCCAATGTCGTGTAGGAACGGCTCGTTGAGCATGCTGAACATCGGGACGACGGCCCTCCACTCCGGCTGGGAAACAAACTCGGCGACTATACGGATGTAGTCAAGCGACCGCTCTGCATTGGCGAGCCCCATGACGCCGCTGAGCCAGTTGATCGACCCGAGCTTGCCAGAGTGATTGTAACCTGAGGTTACGCTTTTGAGCGGCACGCTCCTCGTTCACATAGCAAACGCAATACTAACCATTTTGCGACCCAGGGATAGTGTGGAGGTCGAGGTTCACGCGGATACCGTACTTGCGAGCCCAGCCGAGCAACCGAAGAATGTACCTGAGAGAACGATCGTTAACCCCAAGAACGCAGGATCGCACGCACGGCACACTCACTTCCAACAAGTCCTCGCCAAGAAAGGCTCTGCCACCGTCTCCCCGTTCGCATCCACACCCACATTGTCCCACTTCTCGATCGCCCAGAACGGGATGGGCACCCTGATCCAGTTCAGCCCCGCCCCCGCGATCTGCGCGATGTCCTCCTCGGTGATGAACGTGTTGTAGTGGTCCTCGATCGTCTGCTGGAGCTTGTCCCCGAGCGCCACGCTGAGCGTCCACTCGTCGACCGTGCCCGCGTTCTGCTCGAACAGCTGCGGGACGATGAACGGCTCGATGACGAACAGGCCGCCGATGTTGACGCCGTTGATGCGGTCCACGCCCCACGTCCAGCTCTCGTTCAGGGGAGGCGTCCACGAGTTCGGGCGCGCGGAGTTGTCGAAGGGGTTGGCGGGATCAGACACCCCTGTGTGGGAGTCCAAGGTGAGCGCCCGCGCGATGGAGGCACAGACACAGATTGAAATAACGGTGACTCGCTCACTCCCCGAGCTGAGCCGCGCGGCCGAAATCTCGCGCAGCGCGAAGAGAAATTATACATCTTCTCGTGCGACCCCCAGTCCGAACACACATGGACGACGCATGTAGAGCGAGCCGCTTCGGCTCGACACTCAAACGCGCGCAAGAGGTCATGAGTATGCGAGGCCGTCCAACAGACACCGACGGTGGTACGACCACACGGGGCGCCGATGTTCCTCACCTGCACGGTGGCACTACAGGCCCACAGGGACGTGGTGTGCTCGCAGTGTAGCCCGCAGTGCGACCGCAGGACTTTGCGCGCACTACTACAGCGACGGCGCGGAGAAATAGGGGAAATCTGTGTGGCTGCGAAACGGCGGTCCGACGGTCAGGAACGCCCGCACTCGGCGCCGGTTTCAACACACAACTTAATGCACCCTTATGTGCCGAGGCGTTTCTTGGGCGCGATCAGAGGCCCATTCTAGCCACGACTGGACAGTAGCAATGGCCCTCGACTGTAGGCGCTCGCCGACGTTGTCGGACCGACGCGAGCACGAAACCCGTGGTGCGGAGAATGCAAGGAATCATTGCGAGAATACTCACAGTAGCCCCCGAAGGAATTCTTGTACACGAATGTCGTGCCATCATCCTTCGTGACCGTGCTGCCGTCTCCGCCAGTCGTGATGCCAGTCTTGGTCGTGGTCGGACTTGAGCTGTTAGAACCCGAGTCGCCGGAGCCAGTCGAACCAGAAGATCCGGAGGAGGAAGAGGACGCTCCCGAGGTCGAGTGGTGGTGGCCGGGTTTGACGACCACGAAGATGACGGGCAGGACTACCGCGAGCGCGACGACCACGATCGCCACGATCGCGACCACCCAGAACCATGCCCGCTTGTACAGGGGGCGGCGCGAGGGGAGCGTCTCCTGCGAGTTGATGAAATTCGCCTCCTTGTTGCTCTGGGCGAGGAAGGGAGAGGATTCCGCAGGGGTAGAGATCGCAGAGCTGTCCCGCACCCCAGGAGGCGCGTTGAGGTACGCAGAGCCGCGCGGGGTGTCGACGCTGTCGGCGATGCTCTCGACAGGCACTTCGAAACGGTTGGAATACGAGGCCATTATTAGGGATGGGAGATGCTGGCCAGGGGTATTTGAGCGAAAGCAAGGAGGGTCCTGTGCCGCCGTAGAGAGTGAAAAATTGAGCACCCCGAGTAGGTGGGCGGGGAAGCCTCGCTCGCTCGTTGCGGGGGAGGGAAGGGTTGATGTGTGGGGGATGGAGGAAGAGCAGAGCCAAGCTGGGACGAGCCCGAGTTTATTCGTGCCACGGGCTAAGTTGGATGTAGACAGACCAGCGCCTGGTACGCTCACATGTCGGCACTACATGCCGCGAGGCGACTGATCTGGCGTGCGCCCCGACCGGCTGGTCGGGATTATGGGCAGTGTCCTAGGCATCTGCGGGAACAATGCGACCGGGAGTAGAGGCGATAGAGCGACGTTCAGCGAGGATGGAGGCGCGATTGTTGAAGGGTGCATCGAGGCTCGACGAGGGTGGATTACTATGTGGGGAAACGTGGGAATCGCCCTCGCAACGGATTCTCGTGAAGCTTCAGCGGACAACAACAGGGCAGCCCCCACGGCTGTAAATTCTGCTCACTCTCTCGAACTCCATCCGCGACCCTAGGAGGAATTCAAGTACTCATTCTTGACAACCAAACAGGATGTCCGTCGAGATACTGAAGGCGGTTCTCCGGTCGCGTCGAGGACGTGGGTCCCTCGAGCAGGCTCGTCTTCCGTGCCGATGGGAATTTTTCGGATCTCTCACCAGCGACTACTCACAGATACCCCACTGCATGCTGTGTATCTCATGTCTCTCACGCCGGTGAACGGGCCCGTTTGTCATTAGCAAGTCATCTCGATCGAGATTGCGTTAAAGTAGACACTGTCCTGTTTCCGTGTCGCCTGTCGCCTGTCGCTGCAAATGATCTCCTTGCGTGCCTGTTTCTTGGCGCATATATGAGGCTTGGAGTAAAGGATGAGGGATGAAGACAAGACACATTCTATAAAGGGATTCTGTACTCGGTGCACAAGGAAGAGTTATTGTCATAGATATGTTCATGCATGTGGCTTTCAGGCTCCGAAACCTAACGGCTGACCTGAGCGTATGTAGCGGTAGAAGCGATTTCTGTGCGGGAGTCGAGCAGTGTCTGAATGTGCTGTATTACGCAACATGCTCGAAAACAAGCGGTGTCTAGTATACGACATATCAGGACTGACTGCCCATAACCGGCAACCACAAAGTATGTTACATCTTACACGGACGAGACGATAGCGATTCCCTCATATTCGATGCCCAGAGCGATGCACCAACTAGAGACGCAGCTAATTTACCATATGTTTCCCGGAATTTAAAGACGCTGGAAAAGTGCCGGTAAATCATGTGCCAATGTCCGTAAGTTCAATTTGCCACTAAGTAGTGTAAGTGCGAGGAGTGGCCGACACCTCGTTCGGAGCCCCAATGCGAGGTAGAGCTGGGATCATCTGAGAAATCCATCCAATGATTTGCGGGGACTTGATCGTAATCCTGAGAAGATGGTCACATGAGACGGGATGACGACTCGGAGATGGCGCAACCACGTACCTGCACCCTGCAGCGGTCGACTCGCACGTCGATCCTTGATTGGTGTGGGAAGTTGAGAAGCCAGCCTTTGTAGCGACGAACGGCCCGTATTTGACAGATGCACTTGTCCCATAGCTTGAGCTGTTCATGTAGGATTGAAGCTTCGCGGTGCTGCCGGATATCTCGAGAACGACGTTGCACGCGAGCATGAATGCTGAAGAGCAGGATTCAATTCCGTGCACCCAGGGCTCGCCATAGAGACTCACCAGTCGGGAAGAGAGGGAAGATGTTGTATAGGGCAAGCTGCGAAGCAATCTGGGTGTTGCTCAGATTCAACACCGGGTCGCCATCCATAAGGGCGCGGAGGGTGCCAAACCCAGGGGAAATCCTAAATCACACAACGTCAATATAATCCGATGATGGCTTTACGGCGTGAACACACTTGGTTTCAGGACGGCAAATCAGTTCGTCGTCGTAGAAGAGCTCAGGGCGCATCCAGGGACGTGTGATATCGACTCGCATACACTCAAACGAAATTTTGACCCCCGCGCTCGCCAACTCCTGCATAGCTTGAGAGTACGCTTGCGATGATTCGAAGTCGGCGCCGGAAGAAAAGAGGCCCCATGACACTGAGGCACCAAACGACATCGAGTATGTTGAGGTGGAGGAGTTCGTGGATTCGGTGGATGCCATGACCTCGGCGGTGATGGGCGTGAAGTAGTCAGGAGGATCAGTCGCGGTGTGAGCCATGGGGTCGGGCATGGGACGGGGAATCCCGACATCGGTGGCAGCGTCCTCGATCTCGGCGGACTGTGCCCCAGTCTGGGTCATGAGCGCGTTGCGGGCATTGGTGTATTCCTCGATGGTTCTCTTGTACCGCTCGATCTCCTTCTGCGCGAACCCATTGTCGCCGGAGATGTTGTCGAGGAGCTTCTCTTGCGCCTTCCGCTGGTCCATCTGAAGCTTTGCGAGAGTGGCGTCGTCGAATTCTGACTGTGCTTTGTTCAAGGCGTCTTTAGACTGCGAGGCCTTGACCTCCTCCTCGCCCTTACGCTTATCCCACTCGGTCAGAGTTTCACCCTTGCGACATCTGCGTGACACGAATGTCAGAACATATCAGCCTTTGCGACCGCCGTAGAACATACCCTTTGCAAGTGGTCCTATATGCTGACTCGTCCGTTCGATACTCCTTCATACATCTGGACAACTCATTCTTTGCGCTACTGTATCGCGCCGCGATATCGGAGTCAGCAGAATCATCTCCGACAGGTTGAACAGGTTTCTACATGGAGTCAGACATATTCATGACTATGCGTTATTTCACGAACCTCCTCCATCAACAATAATAACTGGATGGTCTGCTCGAGACGGTCGATCTCCCAAGTATACCATTCGACCGTCCTTGTTTGGTTTGTACCTCTGTTCATCTTTTCCTTCGCCAGGTTAGCCCTGGAACAACTGGTCAGACGAGCTATAAGGTGGATGAATACACTTACCAGTGAGAGGGCTCAAGCTTCACTTTCTGATACTCGGTGCCCCCATCTTCGTCTTGGACGACGGCCCAGCGCATAGTATCCTGAAGAAATTATGTCAGGTCAAATCCTCATTCTACGAGGTGCAGGCATGGCAGCAGACGCCGTCTATCGCACCTTGCTTTGTTCAATGCGTGCCATAGCTGAGTCCTGGTCAATAACAGAGAACCAGTACTCGACCTCCTCCTTGTGGCCCGTGATGACCCAGTCCATGTAGGCCGCCTGCACGTAGTTGCGCCAGGTCCTAGCGTTCTCTTCTACCCACTGGTCATACCATTCGCGGGCGGCCTTGACGGACTTGGTCGATTTGGCTGCCCTCTCAAGCGCCTCGAGGAAGGCGTGCGTCTTCTGCTCACACGCCTTGGTGTACACCGCCTGTTTCTTGGTGTAGAGCTCGACGAGGGTCATGCCCTTGCCCTCGACTTCGGTAGAGAGGTTCATCATGGCCCGCTTGTAGCGCTGCTGGTCGTCTGTCAGTACGTGCAATTCGTCAACGCCGACTGTCGTGCCTGAACACGATATCTCAGTGCATATACTATGAGTCGGTGCCAAATCATACCTGCGGGGATGAGTTGACTGATGGCTTTAGCGTAGCTCCGTGCGACAGAGCGGCCGGTCGGGCCCATTTGGATAGGCGAGAGCGTCGGCATGTCGTCGCAGAGGACAGCTTGCTTCAGCTCGACCTTCAACGGGAGGATAATGTCGTTCTCCTTGTCAACAGTGTAGTCCTAGGGTGCGATAATGATCAGGGGGTCGCGAGGAGGAAATGGGACGAGATGCACGTACATCAAAGTCGACAACCTTGCCGGGCACCATGACGTGAAAATACTGCTCTTGGCCGGTGGGGAGAGCAGCGCGAATAGCCTCACGAATCTTCACAGAGATGTCGCCGATGCCCTTCACGGCAGCGTCCTCGAGTGCAGCCATTGTGATTGAGAAGATTGGTTCTGGTGCTGTTGTAGAGAGGTGCTGATCTCGAATACGATGACACAACTGAGCTTGAACCAGAAGGTTTGTATAGTTCCTTGTGCCGTGCGTACGTAAGCCGCCTATGCTCAGTGGCGCCGTGGCTAATTTCTCCAATCTTGTATGAAGCAGGTTCGAAAGCCTGAAGTAGAAGTTGCGTCAGTTTTCAAACCGCGCCGACGCTTCTCCCTATGTAAACTTCGCTGAACGGCGCAGTTCATGTCCAAATTAGCCACTTCCTTTTCGTTTCGCTTGCATATTGATCGATTCTCAGTCTCCCGCATCGCATCTCTACTGCAGGTGACATATGAATGGCATTGTATCGCCTGGAAACTGGACGGAAAATGAGCAGATGGCGTCAGCTCGACCGGGGTTTCAACACACGTACCGATCAGCCAGTATCGAGCCGGTCGTCTGTGGTGCCAGGTCAGCTCTTGTCAGCGACTTCAAGACATGCGCACCTGCCTTGATGAGTTTGAGATCTTCCGTTTTTGGATGCTAAATCTACGATACGCCATACTTGCCATTGAACACCGGACGCGTTAGAAGTGCGAATGGTTCCAAATCACGGTCTGTCATGAAGCGAGGAGTAGAGCAGACATCCTATCCCTTCCTCCCTTCAACGAATCCCTCCCGTCTGCTTGCACACCCTGTCTCAATTGAAGCAACTCCTGTTTCTACTCGGGTCAGCGCGATCTCACTCCTCGGCCTTACGCGCCACCTTCCATCCTACTTTACGGCGTAAAAAGCAACTCTGACATTCTCACTATGAGCCCGGTCCTACGCGTGCCGTGCGATGCAAGCCGTCGACAGATTCAGAACTACTAGCACCAAGACTGCTTTGCTAACTGAGGGCTCTGTACCTCGTCGACCAAGCGAAACCAGGCAGAAGAGGTCCAGAAACTCGCTGCTTGCGCTCGCATATCTTCAGCACAGGCCGGACAACGTCACTGTAGGCATCCGTAGGACAACGAGTACTCCTGGCTCCCTAGCCCCTCTATTATTTCTGGCTCGAAGCCGCATTTCGATGTCATAAGCTCGAGCATATGTGACTGGTGTCTGCTCACATCCTGAAGGTTGCATTCTATAGAATGATGCGCACCTCTCCGCTCCGACGCCGGGAATTATGGCGTAGCAGGACAATCTCCACCCCTATCACGAAGCAACTGATGCAACCAGGAGTTTAGGCTGCCCTTCGTAAAAGGGTATCATAGTCTTCACCTCGTGCATAAAGCGATAGCAGGATACACTCACCTCTGTCGGAGTCAGAATCCTGTTTGTCAGCACATGATCTCCATTTGAGTCGTGCATTATGAGGCCGACTGATAGGCTCAAAACAGACAGACTCCCCACACGCATCTTCACATACGAATGCGAGTGCGTGGAGTGTCTGCTTGTACTGAAAAGTACGAGGCTGTCAGAGGAAGGTTTCCTACGCCTCCGTCTTCGTGACACGACATCATCCGATAATGATCGCGGCAAGCCACCCCTACGGAAGACGAAAGCGGTGAATGCACGTCACTCTTTGCCCCCATCCAGCACGTATGGCACTCACCAGTGTCAACTAGTCCTTCTTTCTTGATGACACGTCATCGGAAGATTGGCACCCATTCAGGGAGGTTCGACGCTCATGCACCGGTCCTGACTCGTGTATACGTGGTCATGCAAAAATGTCCGGACGAGCAGTGTACTATTGTTTCGTATCGAGGAATATCTTTCTACTGCAGCTGATTCCTTTGGTGTAGAGATCGTGCCAGGCGAGAGCCGCGAGCAGGAGACAGTTGTTCAAGAAGCGGATTGGAACCATGAGCACGTGCACCACCGGAGCCGCCGGATTGGTGAGGCTTGTCGGCGAGTGGAGGTGCCGGCGTCTGGATGGATTTCCCGTTCATCCATCGGGACCTCCTGACCATGCTCGCTAATGGACAACCAAGAAACACAAAGTAGTCACATGGCAGGTGAGCACGCGACAAGACCTGAACGTACAATAGAGTGTATTTGCACGGATAATTATCAGCGTTTTCATTACCCGCCCTCATTGAGTTTTCACCAGGTGGGGCCGGCGCTAGCGGCCCTACGGTGAGGAATCATTAATCCGCCACGGTTTTCATCGGGTGGCGTCCCGTTTTCACCAGCGCCACCTCGATAAATCACCGTGCAAATACACTCTAATGAATGTACAAATGTACCTTCATAACACTCGCTTCAGCACCGAAACACCATAATCTAGTACGTGCCGCATCTATACGATGGTAAGGTCGGCGGAAATCTGCAACATGGTGCAAGCCTGCCCTGTACTAGGCATATGCATACGACAGCTGGCCTCACACCTTCGAGCGAAACCTGAAAAGAGAGCTGTATTGTACATGAAGCTCCTTCGTTTAGCTATAACAACTCTTCAACAGTGCGAATCAAGATAAATAGCATCTCCGGGCGAGTCATGGGGGTTCCCATAGAACTGAGAGCAATCTTGAGTCTGTTTGTATCGTATCCGCGGAAGTGCATTCGAGACCGTGAAGTCATGGCAGGTCAATACGCTCGCATATTCCCCTACTTTCCGGCGCGTTTCATTGGTTTGGACCCACCGGCATCACCAACCATCATCGTCTTCCTCCATCAATAGATGCCCCAACCCATCATCCAGACCTACAGAGCCCCCCTCGTTGTCCGAAAAGGCCGCGAGGTCTTCGTCCCCGACCGGCCCCAATCTGTGCTCGTGACCCGTACGGTCTTTCGAGCGGTGCACATCGACATCCACCAAGGATGGGAGCGCAGCACGGAAGAGCTCCGCGACTGCGTCCATATCCAGGCCATCAAGCTGTTTCTCCGCAGGGCAGAACCAGCCGTACAGCGATCGATGGGACGCATTGGGCCCGGTTAGGAGACCGTAGTCGATAGTGAACACGAGACGACGGAGGGAAAGCACGCCAAGTGTCCTGAGCACATCGTTCTAGACTCCAGTTCGTGAGCGCTCTAATTGATCCGCTTTCGTGAAGGGCACTCACCAGCACTGCCTGAATCTCTATATCGCCCTCGGATGGAGAGAAAGAGAGCTCCAGCTCCAATTCATGCACCTGTTGCGCACACACCGCCCGCAGCAAATTCGCTACTGTACCGTCCGCAAACATGGTCGCCCCTGCGATGGTGACAGCGAGGCTTGTAGGCAGAGTATCCTCGAGCGCGTCCCTCACGTATGGGAGCAACTTGGCCGAGACGTCGCCTATAATCCGCAATCTGGGGACATGGCACGCTAGGCCCAACGCGAAGACATCGAAGACGTTCCCCGTCACTTCCTCGAGGCACTTCCATGTCCGTCCAAACGCTCGCTGCGCCTCCTTGTTCGCTGCGCGCAATACGGACAGCCGAGCAGGGAAGCTCTCTGACCGGGCAGCGGCGTCATTGAGAGGCGACGTGAAGGAGAGATGTGCTACGTTGGGAAACGCCGCGACGTATGCGAGCGTCGCGGGCATCGACTCGTCGACAGACGTCGCGTGGATCGTGCGCACTGAGGGATAGACGACGTCATACATGAGGCGATCGGGGTGGATAGCGAAGTTGGACCCGGAAAGCTCTTCCAGCGTTTCGGAGATGTTCGCGAGGAGGACAACAGGGTTCCGATGTTCAGCGTCCTCAGGAACGTGCCAATCCGTCAGAGGCGTGAAGTCGACGGAGATCGTCAATAGAGGTGCCTGGATTGTGCTGAGCAGAATGCAGGTTTTGTCATCGCACTGTTCGACTGTGAGGTGTCGTAGGGTTGTCAATGCGGAGAAAGCACTCAAGAGCGATAGTGCGTGATGCGAGGATGGTGTTGGTTTTGAGTTAAGCAGTTTGTCTGCCTCCCGCAGGATTAGTGAGTCAAGAGACAGCAAAGGGTGGCTGAGCAACCCTAGCAGTGCGTCCACCGCCTTCGGAGGGAGGGATCCGGTCGCGACCTCGAGGGAGCGTAAGTACTTGAATCGATCTTGAGGATCGGAGTAAAGGAATAGCAAGAGAGATTTCACGCTTGGTCCTCTCGTCACGGACACAACACCCTGCAAGAGGAACCTAGCGCCGCCGTCGCGGAGCGTGCGGCACGTCAGTGTCATCTCCGCTGCTGTTTGACGCGGCGACATCTCGACGATCAGTAAGAGGATGTCGAAAGGTAGTGCTGGACTATCCATAGCGAGCCTACTGGAGAGTGTCTGTGGGAGAATTCACATGAGTGCACCGGATATTATGATAGGGGGAGGACAGACTTAGGCAGTACATGGACGTTTGACCTCAGGCTCCCTGGTTACTACCTTGAATCGAATGCTTGAGCCGCGGAGAGTCAGGTATAGAGGTGCCACTGCGGCCACTCGAAGAAAGAAGATCCTTTATGAAGTCGTTGAAGTTGGTGACATCGCGGTTGCGTCCTCAGTTGCTGGCCATGGGACAAAGGAACGTTAAAATCAGCCCGGCTATTTGCGGAATGTCCCGGGCCTAGTATGCCGCAGGATTTGCTGCGGCAACGCCCATTGGCAATCCGAGTCCCGCAGTTTTCCCATGTAGGATGGGGCGCATCCGAGCGACGTTACAACTTACTACCTATACTGAAGACTCTAAGCAACGTCCGTCCACGTCACTCCACATCCACATTTAGAACGCAAAGCACTCACAATCTCTCACATCTCGCCTTGATATGAAGTAAAATCTGAGAGCGAGAAGACGAAGAAGACGGCCATATCCGCCGCCGCGGGGCGCATATTGCTCGCCGCGACGATCGTCGTCAGCGGTCAGCCTGTTCCCAAGGGGTTTAGCGCCCATCAAACTAGGCGAATCTTCCGTTTACGCACCCATCCCGAGGACTCGCTTGGCTTCATCGTCGTACATCCCACGTTCATTCCCACTTTCATGGGTGAATCATCGTTGCACGTGGGGTTAACCTTGAGACGCACAAGAGACCGAATACCTCACGCGACTGCTCGGATGACCTACAACACGCAAACGATTATCACTATGGCCGCCGTCTCCGCGAGCGGACCAGTAAGTCCAGTCATAGTTGACGAATAAATCTGGTATGGGAAAGGGCTACAAGTACAGCGACAACGGGATGAGATACAATGCAACATCTTCGGCGGCAGCTACGGTATGTACGTATATGGGTGTATGTAGTTCGTTATATGCAATTTCCGAGGGACCGTCTACTCCCACCTCAGACAGCGACAGCGCAGATCCTCTGGTTAACGCAGTCCGCGGGCAGCGCGCATCGAGTTCTTCCCCGTTCCCATCTTTGACGGGGGACCAGAGGACGCGCGATATGTGGGGATCGGCCTTCCGAAGATTGAGATAGCTACAGGCAAAGGGGCGGGAGGACTGGATGGAGACATGAGGGCATGGAGGATGTGAGAACACGAGACGAGATGGGGCGAGATGGATATCAACTACGAGCGCAGCTTGTCAAAGCACGTGTCAGAGCGGAGGATGCTAAAGAGGAGCGGCGTGTGAGGTGTTGGACGAGATAGCAGATGATTGCGTGTCAGCTGTGATAATGAGGTTGTCCGATGATGTCGTTTAACAGCAGGGCCCACGACGGTGAATGCCGAGTTGTGGGAGGGAGGGGGATCCGCAAGCTGGACTTGGTTACGCGATCATCCAATGACGGGACAAGCGCCAACGAGGCATCTGCTGAAGACGAAGACTGCCGGAGGGCCGGAAGGCCAAGGTCCAGGAATATCGGCGCCGAGGCAGACCGTGGAGGGCAGGGGAGAGCGAGTACATAACAAAACGACAACACCAGGAAAAGAACAACGGCAGAACCGAAGCCAATCAATGAAGAGAAGGGACGGAGCATTCGTGACAAAATGTGGAATAAGGATAGGGTGCTCGGCGTTGGCGAAGGGGCAACGAGGTCACAACACGGGGACGAGGTGCGTGCGACAGGGAGAGGGGTGCTGTGGATGAGCTACACGACTATACAAGGAAAAGGTGATGAGCACAGGAAATGAGATGCATAAGGCGAACACGGGCACGAGCCTGGCGCGCCGAGCCGCAGGCACAACCCGTGTCCAGAGTCAACGTAAACAGTGACGGCAACGGAACCAACGGCACAGCAAGCATCGAAATCAGAAAGGGGAAGAAGTCAAACTGCCGGACAGGCGCGAAGTGAGACATACAAAGAAGGGTGCCCTCCCTGGTTCGGTCCACCCTTGATCTCAGCGGCTAGCGTGGACGTGCGTGAGTGCTGGTGACCCGCGGCTATCCAAGCTTCCATCCAAATGGTATTGCTTCGTCTTCCCGGTCTTCTCGTAGTGATCCTCGGTATGTGGTACTCAGTCCTGGACGGCTGACGTCCATGCCCGCTTCTGGTGGGTTCGGCAACGTGATCGACACAGAGGGGGTAGAGGGGCAAGTAGGCAAACAAGTCATGTAGGCATGCAACGAGGGCAAATATCCAGTTCTACGACGTCATGCGCAAGAAGTCAAAGTCCGCGGCAGCAGGGGAGCACTGGCAGGCAGGCACACTCGGCCTTGGCTTCGGGAGCAATGCTGTCCGCATGAAGTCGAGCGTCAAGGGTCGCTGATGCCGACACAGCTGCTAGATCTTATGAGCCGATCTCGACGAACATTGAATGATGGGGGAATCGTTGGGTGTTGGATCTGGTGTGTATCCAATCGCCCAGGGACAAGCGACAAAGGGGACGTTGGTCTACCTCCGAGATCAGCGAGGCTCAAAGCGAAGATCGATCGCAGCGGGCCCGCGTCTTGTCGTCGCTTTACGAGAAGCTGGGTACAGCGCGCGCGGGGACCGAAAATATCTCGCGTCCGCGTTCGGATCCCTCCTGCTGCCCGAGCCAAAGGGCACCGTGCACCCTAGCGGACGCGCGGAACCCACGAGGTCTGTCGTCGTGTCGAGTATATCAGAAACCTGCCAGGCGATCCATCGCCCCCTCCTCTTCATCCTCCTGCCGATGTGGGACCTCGACCGTCGCCCTCGCCTCCTCCCCCTACCCGATGCCCGGCCCCGATCCCAACTGACGGGATGTCGCCTAGTTAGCCGGCACGACGCCAGCAATGACAGGCCGCTCCCTTGCAGCCACCACCGTAGCCGTTGGAGTCGCACTCAGCCTCGAGACCCTCGACGGCGTCCTCGGTTCGAACTCCTTCGATGGCGTCCTAGGTGGGACCCTTTCCAGCTCGAGCTCAACGCCCTTAAAAGGCGGTGTTCTCGGCTCCAACTCCGTCGCGCTCCCGTCCTCTCCTTTCATCCGCTTCCCCTTTACCGACAGTGGCAGCTCGTCGTCGAGCTCGAGCTCCTCGCTCGACCGCTTCCTCTGCCGCTGGCGAAGTGGTGAGCTCGAGGAAGGGGGAGGGACCGAAGCGGACGTCGTGGTCGATGCAACAGAGGGCGAGAGTGGTGTAGAGGAAGCGGAATGGTCGTGCTCGAATGAGCCTTCCTTTCGCATCCTCTTCGGGGGCGTCCTTGACCGTTCGGATGCGTCCGATGGGTCGGTCGCAGTGGTGAGTGAGAACGCGTCCGAATCCGCGTCCAACTCTAGATCAGATGAACGACGTTTCCTGGAAGGGGGATGAGGCCCGTACGCAGGAGCAACGGTCTTAGGTGAGGGAACTGGGTCGAAGGTAGCGTACGCGTCGTCTTCGCGTTCGGACTCTCCGTCGACCAGCTCAGACTCGTCCTCAGACTCATCCAGGTCGTCCTCTTCCTCTTCCTCCGCTGCAGGGCATTGCACGGGAGCGTCCTGGATCTCAATCTCGACTTGTGGCTGCAGAGGCGGCTCCGGGTTCAAGGGAGGCTGCTGCTGTTGTGTCTGCGCGAGCTGAACCTGCGTCGGGACGGTAGTCGTGCCTATGTTTGTGCTCATCATGGCTCGCTCGCAGATAGAGCACTGGCAGTGCCATAGCGGCGCGCATGCCTCCTTCCACACCTACAGAGGTAAGCCGTCAGCACAACATCCCGCTTTTCAGAAATACCAAGGATGCGCACCAAGCTGAACGCCTCCCGACTATAATGCGCCATATGGTCCGTCGTAACAGGTACGTATGGTATCGGCCTCAGCAGCTCGGCCGCCCTCAACGACGAGGTCTGCAAATGAGCGAACGGCGCCGGGGGCGGCACTCCGGCCAACGGCGATGACACAATCGCCTCCTCGTCCTTGTTCACTGGAGGCGGCGATGGCGTTGTCTGGAGCGTCGTCGTGGACAACACGGGACTCGTTGTATGCGAGCCGCCGGAATGCGAGGATGACGACGAGTCGTCCTCGTCTTTCTCCCGCTCCCGTCGCCGCCGGTCTTCCTCCTCAATCCGATTTTGCCGCACCTCCAGCCAGTCCACCCCGCTGTACCACGCCGACTCGTCCCTCAACTCGTTAACCACATCCTCCACCGTCATGTTGTGCGCCCGCATCCCTGCATCCCCGCCGTCGGCCGACGCTTCCATCATCAGCTTCCGCACGACGTTCCGCATCGGTGGCAACAGGATTTCACGCATCTGTCTCTGGAACGCGACATAGATCTGCTGCGCAAGGGGATAGGTCGGGGGGTGAGGCACGAGGTGCGTTTTGGGTCGGGGATGTGTGAGCTCCTCCAGGCCGTCGCAGCCCTGCTGACCATCGTCGAGCGCACCCTCATACACCGCGCGACGGTTCCATGGGCACGGGTGGCGCGCGGGAGCTAATCGGGGGCGGCCATAGTTCATGTGGTTGAAGTAGTCGTCCGCGGGGCTGATCCAGTGACCGTCAAGGATTCGGTTCCGCACCCAGTCGTTGATCGCCAGCTCGCGTATCCCGCCCGCATCCTCCGTCAGGCTCAGCATCTCCGGGTCCTCCATTTCGTCGTCGCTCACTTCTTCGTCGCTGCCATACGCCTCGCCGGCGTCCACTCGAGAGGCGAACTTGGACGCTGCCAATGCCTGCTGCAGCATATCTCCGATCTTCGTGTAGGATCGTAACCAGTGCTTCTCCTCCGCCACTTGCAGCACGTCGCGTATCGACCCTTCACCGAGGTCGATGAACGACTCCACCGACTGCCGCGTCTCCCAGTCCAGCATCGGCCATCTCCGCTGGTCCACCGCCACCTGCCACTCGGGGCGCATGTTCACTCGTTTCCAGAACGCCTCCGTTCTGCAGCCTCGACATGTTGCTTCAATCTTGGGCCACGTCTCTTCGTCTTCGTTCTCCACGCAGCAAACCGGCATGCCCTGCGCATAGTCCTCCTCCAGCTCCAATCTCGGCGCCTCTCGCAGGCAGACACCACAGAAAGCGGTGCCCTTCCGGTGCTCCTTGCAGAGGTTAATCTGGCCGTGTATAAGCGTCTGCGACGAACGCTTCCCAGCCCCCGTGCAGAGGCCCTCGCCGTTGTACGGAAAGTTGACGCGGCACACGATGCATGACGCGTCGAGCATATGCCGGTAGTGCTGCCACATGCTCATCCGTCCGATAAGGACGGCGTTCGAGCCAGTGGTAGGTGTAGGTTGGACGACGGTGAGATGGTTGTAGGTGCCCATAGGATCAAGAACCGCGACCGCCTTGTTCCAGAATGCGTGATTGTCGACTGTAGGACATCCGGTAAGCAGAAGGACACGCAAACGATAATCATGAAACGAGAGCGTAAGTTATGTACGTGCAGAATTGAGCGCCAGAGAGGACCATGCGGGCGGCGCATCGACGTCAATTGCAGCCGGCCAACACATGGCAAGAGCGATGCTGCAGCGACGCGGACAGAGCGCTCTCTTGCCCATAGAGTAAATGTCAGGGGAGCCGGAAGTTGGGTATATTATCACAGCGATAAGTGCTCGTGCAGCTGTGATGCTACCGCAGTTGCACGATGGGTGGACGGCGGTCACCCCCGGAGCGCGCGGGAAGCCCCAGGAGACGCTCAGACTCGCCACACGGCCGAGTAGGACGTCCAACAGAGCAAGCCGGTAGCGTGTTTGGGACGGCGCGAATCAACCCGCAAAGTGCATGGACAATGTTGGCTCAGAGCGAGGATAGGCGCAAGTGCTCGGATAAAATTCGGGAATTCCGCCGCCGCTATTGTGCAGGAGGAAACACGATACTCATACGCAGGACGCGTCGACGCGTCGAGACGAAGGGGTATGTAGATGATGGGGAGAGATGTACCGCACATCGCAACCTCGGGATAGAATCGAATGGACACTCACGATGCGGCCTCCAGCAAGGGAATAGGAACCGAAGCCTCTCGAACTCCAGTGCGTCGCGGAAGGTGGTGTAAGCGAACCGTTGCGGCCAAAGCTCTCTGGGCTCCCATGTCTTGGGCACGTATCCGTTGGCGGAGATGTCGAGCAGGTAGTAGGTGGTGATCAGCCTGGACATGGACAAGACGTTAAGCCCGACGGTGGCGCAGACCATTAAGCGACACAGAGGACATGCCTGACGATCTCGGCGGGGAGATCTTGCCACGTACGGGCGGTCTTTCCCTTGGACTGGAACATGGGTGTGTGTACGTTGTTTGATGTGTGTACGTCGTTTGCGACGACGAGCTCGCTGTGAAGGTCGACGTCGGCGACGGTGGTCATTGCGCAGACGTCACAGGAATATGGGAGGTGACAGATCGCGACCACCCTCTGTCACAGCCCCTAATTGCCCCCGACGCTGCCTCCGCCCACCTTCCCACGCACGGACCACCTTTTTAGCGCCTGCCTGATCCAGCGTCTACCCTTGTGTGGGGACTGCGACATACATTCTGAACACCACTGAATCACTGACATTCCACTTCGTCTTCCCTTGGCAGACAGCAGACGTATATGCTCATGGTCGAAGCCGTTTGGAGCAGAATATATCGACGAGAAGTACTCAAGTACTGATTCTTGCTGCAGGTTTTGTTCATGATGACGCGAATTGTCAATGAATTTCTGGCACACGAGGGAAATCACTGATCGGTGATCGACTTCGTCAATGCAAGTACTTGGCAGCAAGCATCGACTGTAAGTTGCTTTCATTTCCAACGCACTGTTGCCGCCAACATCGATATCTGGAACAACGATGATTCATTCCACGGTCATCATAGTTGCTTATACCCGTCAAACCCAATCCTCGCAGCTCCTGTCGTGCGTACCCTTCCCGAGTACCATCTGGTGAGAGCACGGCTAGTGCATCCAGCGAAACTCGACGCTAACACAGCGTTTTACTACGCTTTCCTAGCATTTCTCTACGGCTGTAGACGTCTCGAAGGTGTTCAGTAACGACCATGGTTTGGCCTAAGGAAGTGATACTTCATCTGTCGATGTAGTAGACATCGAAGAGAGTTCTCCCTATCAATTGACGAGGAAATGGCAAGCAACTTGTCTTTCCTCGTTTCGTCATCTCCACCTCGCTATCTCCGTCCCTTCCTCGGATACTCTCCGCGCATCCATCTCAACTCTTTCTTCCTGACGGAGCTCATAGAGATCATGGGGCGATGCGGCCTTCGCCTGGCCAAGTTCGGATACACCATTCGCGCGGACGCAATGGACTCGCACGATCTCTTCGTCAAACTTCAGACATCGATATGCAGCCTCGAGCCGTGCATAGTAGGGGCGCCAGGGCTCCAGCGGTGCTCGTCGCCCTCCAGATGCCTACCACCGTGTTATCTCGCCTATGCTGAACATCCACGAACGCATACAGCGTGTTTCTGTGCCCCTTATTCCTGGTTCCGCCTCGTCGAACAGGTACAGAGCCCTATAGCAAAGCAGTCTCGGCGCTAGTAGTTCTGAACCTACTTATCGACGGCTTGCATCGCACGGTACGGGTAAAACCGAGATCACAGTGGCATTGTAAGAGCTACTTCTTACACCGGAAACTAGAATTTAAGGTTGCGCGTAAGACCTAGAGGTGAGATCGCGGCGACTCGAGTAGATCGAGAGCTTCATCTGCTGAGACAGGTCGTGCCGGCAGACGGAAGGGATGTGATGAAGGGAAGAAGGGAAGAAGAAGGGATAGATGTGTTGCCTCACTTCTCGTTTGATTGCAGAGTATAATCTCCTGGAACTTTTCGCACGGCTGTCTCGGCGCGTCTCAGACGTCTGGTGTTCCATGGCGAGTATGGTGTATCGTAGAGTGAGCATCCAAAAACAGAAGATACCAAGCTCATAAAGCAGGGTGCTTATGCCTTCAAGTAGCCGAAAAGAGCTGACCTGGCGCCACAGGACGCTGCTGTGAAGCGCATCAGCGACATCTCTGTGAAGATTGGTGAGCCTGTTTGCGCAGCTCTTCCTGTTGGAGTTCACACGTGAGGAAGAAGCTGAGAAGTCAGGAAGGATGATCATCGAGAGAAGAGAAGCCGCAGCTTATATACATGGTGTAGACTAGCAAAGCGTAGTGTAGAGGATCCGCATAACAGAGAAGGCGCTTGACAGGCTGAGCGTGCCCGCAATATTCCAACACTTCCCATCGACCAAAAGCAGTATATATTCACATTATGGTGCCCGGGAAAATTGTCGACTTTGATGTACATGCATCTCATCCCATTTGCTCCTCGCGAGCCCCCAATCATCATCACACCACAGGTCTACACTGTTGACAAGGAGAACGACATGATCCGCACGTTGAAGGTCGGGCTGGAGCAAGACGTCAAGTATAGTGCTCTCTATCGACTAGAAAATGGCAAGCAGCTTGTCTTGCTCGTTTCGTCATCTTCCCTTCGCTATCCCCTTCCCTCTTTCGATACTCTCCGCGCATCCACCTCAACTCTTTCTTCCTTCACAGAGCTCACAAAGATGATGCGGCGGTGGAGACTTCGCCTGGGTAAGCTCGGATACACCAGTCCCGCGATCGCAGTGGATTTGCGCGGTCCCTTCATGCGCGGCCTTGAGATCCGCCAGGTCGATAGATATGCGCATCTAGATAGCCAGAACTCTCAGAGATTACCTATCCGTGGTTGAATAGCCTCACTCTCCGTGTGAACACTACGAATGACGATGTATCGCTATGCACCCGACAGCGTGGTTTCAAGCCCCTCAGGGCTCTGCGCTACTTCGACGCTACGGACACCGTCATGGGCGACCCTGCACTCTTCGCACATTGTGCGTATGCGTGCACGTGCACTCCCAACGTCATGTCACGGGCACGGGTAGATGCGAATTGGATGAAGACAGGTACGAGATCCGCTTGTGTTTTTCTGCGCTGTAACTATGTTCGTCTTAGGTGCGCAAAGACGGGTTTGGCAAACTTGACAAGATAGCCTGGGGTAAGTTGCTGCTACGCCCTCTGGGCTAGCTGCAAACGCTAAACGCCTGACTAGGTGCGGCGGAATCGGCGGAGTCAAACCCATGGGCATAACGATGCGCGAAAGTCGCGTTACCAGGACAGACTTGCTTCGGAGCCGTATGCTGACCTGCGCTTGGTATGGACAACCCCTGTTCTGTTCAGGGTCGGGACACACACGCGCGCGCGTGTCATACTACAAAGCTCTGATTTTGACAGAGCGATATCTGTCGTGTACATATGACCGGGAACGCTTAGTCATATTTAGAGCCTAGCGCCATGGCGATCAGCCTTTTTGCGCGACCATCTCTTTGCTGTCTTGACGGCTCTGCGCACATAACGATATTGAAACATGACTTACTTATTCACTCCGCACATCCTGACTGGTTTCACGACATACCCAACCTCTGACGTGCCTACACTCGCCCTCGTCAGACTCGACGACAAGCAATTGGGAGTCCATCGAGTTTCCTCGAATACTAGCCATAATCTCGTCGTCCCTCCTGTCCCCGTGCCTGGGGGAGACTCTACGACGCAATCATGGGAGGCGTTCTTCCCAGCTGGGAGCATCAATCCCGGGAACAAGACCAGCCCCCCCGGAGGTTTCGGCTTTTACCTCCAAGGCCCTCCTCCGTTCGCGGAAGTTATGAAGCAGCTGCCCGATTCTGCTGAGATTGTATTCACCTACAGCGTTCTCTTCGAAGACGGGTTCCAATTTGCGAAGGGCGGGAAGCTACCGGGAATCTGTGAGTACCCTCCTTCTCTGTGCGCGTTGTGGTGAATCATGACGGTGGGCCAAGACGGTGGTGCTGGAGAATTCGCATACGGGTGCACCGGTGGGAGGCAGACGGATCGCTGCAAGTGCTTCAACCTGCGACTGATGTGGCGGTACGTCGTGTCGTATGATATGTGTGCGCGTCTTCTCAATATCGCATCGGCACGCAGGGAGGATGGAATTGGCGAATTGTACGCGTACCTGCCCCATGTGGAACAAAACAGGCGGCGCCTCTTACTCGTCCCCCCGACGTCGATCCAGCATCCAGATTACGGCTTCTCTGTCGGCCGCGGCGCGTTCAGGTTCGTCTCCGGGCGCTGGACGCGAGTCACCCAGCGCGTGAAGATGAACAATGTCTCACAAGAGAATGGTAAGCGAGATGCCATCATGGACGCGCCGATTTCCATTGACCGTGAAGACAGGCGAGATTGAGATCTACATCGATGGCCAGTCTGTTCTGCTTGCGACCGGACTGGTTTTGCGCACCGAAGCAGGACCGGACGGACGTGTGCAAGGGCTACACATGCAAACGTTTTTCGGCGGTAGGCCCTTGTTTCGCACATCTACCGCGCCCGAGTTGAGATCGGGTTGGTGCAGGTCATTCACCAGATTGGGCATCACCGAAGGACCAACGAATCTGGTTTGCGAACATTTCGGGTGCCGTCGTAGGGCCAATTGGCCATGACGAGGTTTGAGGTTGCCGACACTTCGTGACACTTACTGAGCCCAGACAGCTTTTGCATGGTGATGAAAAAGTATAACGCGCGCATTGATGAGGTACGTGCGAAGTGGTACGCTAAGAATGCGTTGCGTTGCTAAGAAAACATAGAATAAGACATGCTGCCTTCGCGGCCACGAACCTGAAGCGCGAGACCCTACGTGAGCCGTTTATAGCCTGCAGGGGTTCATCGTTCAATGAAGTCAAGATGATTGCAAACAGTAATCCGGCGCAGACGATGACAATCCGTTTTCCGTAGATATGTGCTCCATGCGCCTTCGCCCCTCACGCCGTAACAATAACGACCGTCGGCAGCTCAACGACATACGTCCTGGTCTGCGTGACGGTTTGGATCGTTTCCACCGTATAGGTTCGACCCTGTGAGCCACGCGTCACCGTAGTGGTCACCGTCGAGCCCGGGCCAGTGACCGTCTTGTCGCGCGGGAGCGTTGCAACGTGTGTAGAGGTTGTGAGTTGAGTGTCTGTCGAGGTCGTGCTGACGACGACGGTCGTGGTGGAGGTGGGCGTGGAAGTTGAGGTGTCGGAAGTGTCCGTTTCACGCTTGTGGAGGACAGAAGAGTGTGCAGACGGTGCGTGCTGCACAAGCGGCGTGAAAGGCGCAGAAGGTAGCGCAGTCAGGGGTGCGATGGAGAGCGATGGGAATGCGAGTCGAGAGTCCGGAAATCTCGAGGGCGTTGGAACGACTGTTGATATGGCCTGTAGGATCGAGGCGACCTCCGACGCGACCTCGGAGTAATTAAATGCGGGCAGAATAGCACTCGCAAGCGCATTCTGGCGCACCGAGGACGGGAGGGCTGTACGCACACTCAGTTATAGGGCGCATAGAGACGGATTACTAACTCACTTGCTGAGCAGGCATCCCGCGCCATCACGAGGACGACAACGTACACGGTGCAACATTTGAAAAACATCGCAAGAGTTGAAAAGCGGGTTGTGGGTACGTGTTTGCACTGTTCGGTCTGATTACGGGGTTGAGGGATCATCGCAGAGCTTTATATACCTGTTCCCCTCCTCGCACCTCATGGGCATGCTGGAATGCGGATGCAAAGTTTTGACAAGTCCAAAACCTCTTGGATTGGATGAGCGGCAATAAACTGAATTTTACCACTATTCTTGCGACGTTCCGCGGTTCCATGATCCCGCATTCTCTGCTCTAGGACTGAATTTACACTGCAGGCCGCACAAAGCATTAGCTGAATTGTCCGTCGGTTCTGCAAAGCTCAGCCTCCCGGGGATAGCTTACATCTCCGGGCCGAGTGCGGATGGCCAAATTCGGTATCCGAAGCGCCGTGAACGGCATGCGGATCAATATTCCGTATGACGTGTGTGGGCCGATCCGCCACCTACCCGTCCCTACGTGCATCGAACTGCGCCACGCTAGGAATCGACATCCGATATCCGACTGCGGGCCGCCGTATTCAGGAGGTCAGATCACGCCCAGTCCCAAATTCTTGCACAAGGCGACTGGCGAATGCCTCTGCGATGATCGAAGATCTTTGAAGGTATCCACTACACGATCGCACTAGTCAGTGATCTCAGTAGCGTGCGCCAACATGTTGCCTTACATCCGCTGTTGCAGCCGAAGTTACAGCCACTATCCCAATCGGTTGGCTCTGTGGGTTGCTGACGGAACAGGGCGGACTGACGGAGACTTCGGTCGTAACTCAGCGTTTCGCTGCGTTTGATAGAAGTACGCCCAGGTATATAAGTCGATACTTCTACCACCGCCTGTTTACCTTCCAACTTCCCTGCTCTCGCAGCGCAGATTTTACCCCAAACATCACCATGTTTTTCAGCAAATTTTTCGCTATCGCTAGCGTGGCGCTCGCTGCAGTCCCGGGCATACAAGGTACGTTACTTTCCTTAGCTTAGGCGTTGTTCACCGCACCCATACATCATTCAACAGCAATCGTGGTATGTATCTGCGTGTCCCACGTAATTCAAATTGTCCTAATGTTGACCTTGCGGCTGCCGTTTCATAGGTTTCCCCAGAGCATCAAATTCACCCACGGCAGGTGGACGAATTTACCACAACTACCACGTCAACTGGTCACGCTACCATTACGAGTACGGTCGAGGCGTTTTCACGTACAGTTGTTCGATCCACCACCACTCGTCCTGGACGGACCACGACCGTTACGCAGACGGCATTGCCGTCTGCAAGTCAGACAGACTCAACAGTCTCGCGCACGCGAACGGTGGTCAGCCCCTCTATCGTTATGATTACCCAGTATAGGACGGAGACTATCACTATTCCCAGACGATTCATTTAGACACGCGTGCTAATTGCCGTCGGGATGTCCGATGATTTGGGTATCAGCTACAGCGAATGTATCATATGTAGTGGTCAAGTTACGCACGCTCAGTTCCCTAGCCCTTATAACATAATATATCATACTCATCACGCATATATTCGGCATTTCCCACATGTCTCTGGATGTTTGCGAGTTTTGAGGGCCATTATTTCAACCACCGTTGCGCGCCATTCAACTGATATGAGGAATATACGTTCGCTTTCCGCGGACGATAGTGATGGAGACTTCGAAGATGTTGAAAAGTGTCTCATGGGGGGGCGATGCAATGGCAAAGCCCGACGCCGTCGAAGTCCCAGAGGACTCCCCCCACTTCAGACGCGGTGGTGCACACGTCGGCGGAGCAGGCGGACTCAGAAGTCACGCTATTCTTGTATAATGTCACTACGGTCTGCTACAAGTTCAGCAGGGGGTTCTGTCGAGCGCAGATGGTTGAACCAAAGTCACGTAACAAAATGTTTCGGAGATATGATCATTCTTCCGGGGAGATGGAATTAAGAGCCCCTTTTTATCAATTGGAGCGGGATGGGAGTGAGGAGGGGATGTCCGCCAAATCGTTCCTGGTCGCTCACAATCCCACTCCAATCAGTGGGCGGCTACGCCGAGTTCAGACAGAACCTGTCCCGCTTGCTAAACGAGCCCTGAAGGTCCACAGAGGCTAGCGAATTGAGGTTTCTGTGGAAGCGGCGCTTCTAGGTGGTCTCTTTATGGGTAATGCGTGCATGGGTTTGTGAGTCAGCCCTATAGACCTTGTTTTATGGCCTTCACTACGTGGAGATAGGTCGCTAAACACTTGAGAGTAGAACAACAGAATAACTGTACAAGTCCTTCAAGACCGGTCCTAAACCAACGCCACATGGCGCCATCGGTGGCAACACCGTCGCTGGTGTTGCCTCAACGTCTCTCCCATCCCTTCGTCTCTCCCCCTTCACTCTGCTTCTCCCGTGTTCCTTCACCTCCCCTTCTCCTTACTTACGAGCTTTCACCAGTAGTGTCTCCTGCTTATCAAAAGTTCTTGTCACCATACCAGCACACCGGTTGCTTACCTTCTGAGCCTAAGCTACTTGCGCCCTCACAGCTGGCGTGATTGGGGTTCTGCATTTGTGAGTTGAGCTTAGGCGTCATGTGTCTCGGGTTTCCATCGTTTGAGAATGATATCCTAAGTCATGATGTGGTGAGTTCTTCTGATTTGAAATACATTGAGGTGAGTTCAGTGTCGATGAGGCTTGATGGTCTCAGTCCATCTTCAAGGTAAGTGGTCGTCAGTGGGTATCTCTCGTCTTGGTCCTCATCACTGTTAAGGTACGTGTATAGTACCACCTTGTAGTACACCGTGTGTCTGGGCTTCATTTGGTATCTCATCCACCCCGTGATGACGTGTCGTGGCATGTGTAGACAGCATCCACCCAAGTTGGTGGTCGCGTAGTAGATCAATGTAGTGTACCTGTACCGTGTATATAGATAGTAGTTGCAATGATATCACGTTTTCTTGCTCTATTTACTGAGTGCTCATTGAAATTATATGAAAGGCTCGGAAATCCCATAGCTCGGAGGTGCTCGGCGAGTGCTCGAGAGCGCTCGTGAGCACACTTGCGCGTCTCGTGAGACCTCAAGGCCTCACCGAGCGCCGGTGGGTGCTCGATATTACTCATAACCGGGGTACTTACCTAGATCGACTCGACTTACTCTCGAGACTGGAGAGCGTTTCCGAGGCAAGTTTTTTTTTCCTGATGCAGATGAACCCATTTATGCCCCAAAAGCGGAATCGAGAGTCCAAGGTCGCTCAGGCAGGCTTGAGACACTCATACACTATCTACTACATTCATCTCTCAATGTATTTGGTACTTTATGTGGAACCACGGGGGTGGAAGGGTCCCTCGTCACAGATTCTCCTTGGGGGCGAAGTGTGATTTCACCAAGTCCTTTCTCTCACGGGGTACCAAATCGGGGTGCTCTGCCAGAAATGCGCCCGGTCGTTGAGGAACGCTGCCTCCTCCTTCCGTACGACTGGTTCAAGTCTAGTGTTACACCCATGCTTACTTACGTCTGGGTACGAGACCAAGCTGGGACTAGAATTGTCATCAAAATCGCTACTCTCAAAACTTTGACCTCCCTATCTCTGGCTCTCTCTAATGTGCGAAGGTCGCGACAGGTTTGTAGGGTTTTGACATGCACTAGGCTGTGGTATGCTAGCGTAATCATCGGGTGAGGCCTGTGCCGGTTCCCTCCGTTTCGGTTGCCAAAACGCCGTCCACTTGAACTGGCGTGGTGGGACGCCACCATGTCGAACCAATGTACCAGGTGAGCAGGGATCGTTCTAACTAATTTGTCTTGTAGGGACGCCTGAGTGCTTGATTTGCTAGATGAAATGTACAGCCCCATCTCGATTCTCGACCATTGCACAGAGTCATCCACCGAGGAGTCCAGGTCAGGGGCCACCTTATTTATGATTGGTCAAATAGGCAAGTAGCTGCAATCCTATGTTCTCGACTGCCAAACTTCCTGAGCTTGTGGAAAGGTATTTGAGTCGGACGTTGTATCGGCAGTATGTTTAGTCTCGGAGAGGAATTTGTGCTGTCGCTCATCCGTCTCCGAAGGTACGCTGTCGTGCCAGTGTGCATGTCCAGAGAATGGGATGAGGCACACGCAGTGTGCCTTTGTACCTCGTCTTCCTCGTCTCCGGAGCCGGTGAGGCACGGAGTCTCTAGCAAAGTGACTACAACTCCGGTGCTCTCACATAAACTCTGTCAACCCCAAGTTGCGCATCCATTGCACATCCAAGGGTCTTTATAAACGTCTTAGGGCACAGTCATTCGAAGCATCCTATCACCCTCTCGTGAAGTGATATTATCTCGCCAAAGTCAGCTCGTCCAGTTTCATCCTCACCATGGCTCAAGTAAGACTCGAAGACGCTGCCGTGAAGCGCATCGGCGACATCTCTGTGAAGACTCGCGAAGCTATTCGTGCCTCCCTCCCCACCGGTAAGGAGCAATACCTCCATGTTATGGTGCCCGGAAAGGTCGTTGACTTTAACGTACGTGTATCTCACCACACGTTTTCTCGGAGGGTTGCTGAGCATTGTCACTTCACAGGACTACACCGTTGACAAGGAGAACGACGTGCTTATCCTGACAAAAGTCGAGCTGAAACAGGCTATTCTCTGTGATGACATGCCGATGCTCTCACCCATTCAAATGGGCCCTTCCGGTCGCTCTGTCTCACGGAGCTACGCCAACACCATCAGCAAGCTCATCCCAGCAGGTTTGCCTTCGCATTTATATGGCCTAGTCACTCGATTTGCACTCATGCACTTCTCAATCTGCAGGCACAACAGTCGGCGTCGACGAGGGCAAGCCCTTAACCGACGACCAGCAGCGCTACAAGCAGGCAATGAGCAGCCTCTCGGCAGAGGTCGGGGACAAGGACATGACCCTCGTCGAGCTCTACACCCAGAAGCAGGCCGCGTACACACGTGCGTGCGCTGAGAAGACACGTGCGTTCGCTGAGGCACTCGAGAAGGCGACCAACTCAACCAAATCAGCCAAGGCAGCTCGCCAGCGGTATGATCAGTGGGTGCAAGAGAACGCGAAGACATGGCGGAATTACGTGCAGGCGGCGTACATGGACTGGGTGATCATGGGGCGCAAGGAGGAGGTCGAGTACTGGTTCTCGGTCGTCGATCAGGAATCAGCTATGGCGCGCGTTGAGCAGAGCAAGGTGTGCTGGCTGACCCCGGTTGTCCCCATTTGTGAATGACGCTGAGTAAGAGATCCTGTACAGAGGACTCTCAGTCTAGTGGGAAGATCACTGACTGAGGAAAGGAAGGAGCGAAGCCAGCACTGTCTACAGCGCTGGCAGGTGGCAGTGCTTGTCTACTATAACAGGAAGGTAAGGTAATCTAATCTAATCTGACACGTCACCTGACCGCATTCTGACACTAAGGTCTCTATCTCGCACAGGAAATCATGCGCTGGGCAATCGTTCAAGACGAGGATGGCGGTGCAGAGTACCAGAAGGTCAAGTTGGCGCCCTCCCACTGGTACGTAGATCCGCCCATGGTAGTACGCGTCCAGTCTGACTAGCTCTGTCTCAGGGCGAACCTGGCCAAGGAGAAGGCTAACAGGGGCATCAATAACACGAAGACGGTCGAATGGTATACTTGGGAGATCAACCGACTCGAAAAGACCATTGAGCTGCTAGAATTGATGAAGAAGGTACTGGTCTGGCTTCACGTAGCTCTAGGTGATCCTCTACTGACTTGCCACAGAAAACCGTCCAACCTGCGGGGGCCCCAGGCAGCGATGCTCCCGATAACGAAATCGAGGCCCAGTATAAGGGCGCGAAGACCGAGCTGTCCAAGTGTATGGATCTATAAGGAATCGACGAGGCTGCATACAGGGATGTGTTCAAAGGGTACGGATAGTCATCACCGTCGTTGATTCCATACTCACGTTCTTCCGGCACAGGCCAAACAAGGATGAGAGTAAGGACGCATGGGACGGTCGGAAGCGCGAGGCGGAAGGCAAATACACGTCCTCTCAGACGGCGTTGAAGAAAGCCCAGTCAGCATACGACGATGCCAACCTTGCGAAGCTCCATATGGACGGTAGGAAGGCGCAGGAGAAGCTCCTGGACGACCTCGCTGGCGATGAGGGCTTCGCGGCGGTGGAGATCCAACGGCACAAGCGGACCATCGAGGAGTACACCCGGGCGCGCGCAGCGCTCATGAACCAGACGGGAGCAAAGTCCGCCGAGATTGAGAAGATCGCGACCAGCGTGGGCATTCCCGCTGCCATGCCCGACCCTACGGCCGTCGCAGCGGTGGAGAGCCCTGACTATTTCACGCCCATCACTGTCGAGGTCACGTCGACCAGCGAGTCCAAGAGTTCGTCATCTTCGGCATCCTCAATGTCGTTTGGGGCCTCGGGCTCGTACGGACTTTTCTTCACTGGCAGTGTCAGTCATGAGTCTTCGGAGGCTCACTCGGAAGCTACGCAAGAGTTGGCGAACGCTGCGGTGAAAATTTCGTTCGAGTGCATGCGCGTCGATATCACTCGTCCCTGGCTGCGTCCAGAGCTCTTCTACGACGATGATCTGGTCTGCGGTCCTCAAGTGAAGTACATGCACATTGATTCGATCAGATGTTTCCCCTGCTCAGCAAAGTCTTATCAGGATCTCACCCGGGTTCGGCCGCCTTCGTGCGCTCATGGACAGCGACCCCCAACTGAACATGACTGAGGGTCAGATTGCTTCCGAGCTGGCCGGTTACAGCATCTTCCCTGTCTTCCCCACCGGTGAGTCCCATAGGATGTATTGGCATTTGCAATGAGCTCACTTCTTCGTGGTAGCATTCCTGCTCGCATGCAACGTCGTCCTCGAGATATCTGGCAGCACTTCGAAGCTGCAGACGTACATGAACGGTTCCAGCTCCTCTACGAGCGTAGCCGTCAGATACGGACCATTCGTTGCTGGAAAGGCCAATCATTCTTCTTCGAGCGCAAACCAAGGATCGTCGTGCGATTCGACGGCTTCAGGGTGCAGGTACGCGCTTGCGCTGTGCACAACTATGAAGGTATCATCCTGATGCACCGTTGGCTACCAGGATCACGATGAAGTCCCCACAAGTCATCGGGTGGATCTCCCAGATGGTTCCGGCTCTCCCTCGCGTGTCGGCTCCGAACGAGGTGGCTGCGGCTCCTCACACCTAGAATGACAACCTCATTTCAGATTCATTGACAGTTCCACCTGTTTGAGCGTCTACAACGCCGACGTCTAATGGCTTAGCAGCGTCATTTTCTTGGTCGGTGATCCCCTCGACTTTGTCCTGGCTCTGGGTGAAGTACTGAATGCAGTCTACTTACTCTCGAGGTGCCCATAGTCGACAGTAAGACCTTGTATGGTACGATCTATAAAGACGACATCGCTCAGGCACCCTTCGCTTAAGATGTCTGACCTTCGTTTTCATGTTCCTGGCAAATTGGGTCCCAGTAGCCTCATCACTACTTCACGTAACTACTACACCCCGACAGAAAACACCAACATGCTCACATAGGACAGTACATAGTCCGGACTGTAAAGGAGAGGAGTCAAGGTTAGTTCAGAGGATATCAGTCTGTCCCTGCAGGTTATTTTGCCGCCTTCTGACATCGAGGTTGGTACAGTGAATCTCTCCGACTTTCTCGGACGATAGCACAGCAAGTCATTCCGATCTTCACTGATCCACAAAGCCTCCATTAGTCTTGTGACTTGAGGCCGCATGACACGCATTTATCAGCGAGAGCAACTTAGTCAGCGTTGACCAACAACTTTACAGAACAGATGGCGGTATGCGAGGCCCGGATCGTGCAATTTGGAAAGTACTTGAGGAGCAAATGCGTCAGTAGAGTGTAACAAACTGAATACGATGTCCAGCGAAAAGCCACTTGTCCTCGTGCTCGGCGCAACGGGGAAGACAGGACAAAGTATTGTCCGCGGGCTGTTGCGGTCCGAGAAGTTCGTGAGTGCGCGCACATCAGCAAAATGTCATGGTCTTGAATCTGAACTTGGGCCAAGACCACGGTCTTAGAGCCAAGACCATGGTCTTAGCCTCAAGTCTGCAGTCTTGGTGGTCTTGAGGTCAAGACCATGAACTTGGAGCCAAGACCGTGAACTTGGAGCTAAGACCGTGAACTTGGAGCCAAGACCACAGACTTGGCTCTAAGACCGTGAACTTGGAGCCAAGACCATGGACTTGGCTCTAAGACCGCGGTCTTAGAGTGAAGACTATTGTCTTTAAGTGCTTAAGCAACTTAGAGTTAAGAGTCAACTTGTCTAAATCAATATAAGAGTATCTAGATCATATAAGGATATGGTCTAGTAATGATCTTATAAACTGCATATTTGTGTATATGTTCAAGATAAGAATGGTCATGAGACCTACTATAG